GTGTTTGGAGCATTCCCTTGTATGCAGTTCGAGTGTTTGGAGCATTCCCTTGTATGCAGTTCGAGTGTTTGGAGCATTCCCTTGTATGCAGTTCGAGTGTTTGGAGCATTCCCTTGTATGCAGTTCGGGTGTTTGGAGCATTCCCTTGTATGCAGTTCGGGTGTTTGGAGCATTCCCTTGTATGTAGTTCGGGTGTTTGGAGCATTCCCTTGTATGTAGTTCGGGTGTTTGGAGCATTCCCTTGTATGTAGTTCGGGTGTTTGGAGCATTCCCTTGTATGCAGTTCGGGTGTTTGGAGCATTCACTTATTGGCGGTTCGTGTGTTTGGTGTTCTGCAGTAGCTGTGCCTGTATCTCTGGAAAGGGGGCCGATCGCCTAAACGGATTTTACCCCTTTTGTGCAAAACGGTCCGTTACATTGTTCACCTAGATCAGGGCTATCCAGGGATGTATTTATGGGGATATGTTTGAGTTTTGGGGTGTTTCTTAACTTCGGATAAAAATGGGTATTTCCTGCCTATGGATAATTAGGCTATTCCATTAGCTATCTTAATTATATCACAGGCAGAGGGGAGGGATTACTGACTATGTGGGAGTGTTACAGTAATAATTATTGTTCCTCTTGGTTTATATTCCTTTGTCCCTGTGTTCCATCAGGTCCAGGGGGTGTGCCTCTGGCCTGAAAATCTGTATAAAAGAAATGCAAGTTGCTCAATAAACCAGACATTCTTACCTTCAACTTGCAGCCTCGTTTTCTGTTGTAGGGAACAGCTATAACTGCTATATGACTGCTAGCTCTTGTAAGAGCTCTCTTCAGCTATACTAGCTTTACAGGATATCGGGTTGGAACTGTGCAGCGCTCTCTATCTATGGGAAGAAGGATATCCAGATGGTAGATACCCTCACTCTATAGAGGTAACCGCCATATTTAGTGGCAGCGGTGGGATGGTCCTTCTACCGCAGGAGGTATGCAGGTCGGATGGAAAACCGGTATGAGCAGCTAAAAAAGGACGACCCTCAAGGATCCACTGGAAAGCCGTGGAGGGATTGCCACCAAACGACCCAAAAGGGAGCTGATTTGGGAGCTACAGCTACCATGCCTGAACCTCCTACCACGTCTGGAGACGAAACGGTCCGTATAGTGAGGGAGCGGTTTGCAGTCTATGGACCAAACACCTTGGAGGAGCGAATTACTCAGTTTTTTGCAGAGGTAGCAGCGGAAGCTCGAGAAAAGAGTGAATACGAGCTACAAAGGATTATTGCCCAGCGCTCTGCAGAGCCACCCACAGACACCCTTGCTCTTGCCAATACGGAGAAGCAAAAGGTAAATTTTGCTGCATTTAAACAATTCCTGGAAGCAGAGGGGGAGATCGACAGCTATTTGGCGAACTTTGAAAGGCAGTGCGCGCCTCACCAGGTACCCACAGAGGAATGGGTCACCATCCTGTCTGGCAAGCTATCCAGGAAAGCCGCGGAAGCCTTCTAGGCCATCCCCGAGGACGAGGTAATACAATACAACCTTGTGAAAGACACCTTACTTAAACGGTATGTCATGGCCCCTGAGGCATACCGACGGAAATTCCGGGACACCAAGAAACTAGGATGTGATACCCACATGGAATGGGCTAACAGGCTCACCGCTACCCAGTGGATCGAGGGATGCCGAGCCGTATCTGTCGAGGAGGTGCTGCAGCTGTTCCTCCTAGAGCATTTATTTAATAATTTACCTCAGGAATTAAGCAACTGGGTACGAGACCGACGTCCCCACACCCTCACCGAAGCGGCCCCCATGGACCTCAAATCTGACACGCGACGGCACAAACACTGCTGAACTTTACTTTCTCTGGGACTTCAACTCTTTGACGGGAGTCGAACAGCGTTCGACAATTTGAACGCCACTTTAAACTTGATTATTTACACAAACGGCTCCCGTTCGTGCATTCGAACGGAACTTAGTATTGAAAATAGACCGGCCGCACAGCCAAATTCTCTGGAACTGTTTTGGGCATGAAATCATGCGTGCGGTCGGTCAAAAGAGACTTTCATAGAAATTATGAACCTTTGATCTGGGTGATTTTTGGATATGTTGTTCACCCAGATCAGGGCTATCCAGGGATATGTGGTTCAAGTTCTCTTACAAAAATTTGTATAGAGAGATAGAGGGAAAAAGACCTAACAAAGGAGAGCTCTAAAACTGGATAAACATAGGAATCCACCAAAAACCTATTGAAACAGAGTAAATAAGATATACTGCACAGGAGGTGTAGCAATATAAATCCAGGAGCTAGTAAATATTAAAGGATTGTTGTGGCAGGATATAATAAGATTATTATTGCAGGATATCTGCATATTATATCCTGCCACAACAATCCCTTAATATTTACTAGCTCCTGGATTTTTATTGCTACACCTCCTGTGCAGTATATCTTAGTTATGGGGATATGTTTGAGTTTTGGGGTATTTCTGAACTTTGGGTAAAGATGGGTATTTCCTGCCTATGGATAATTAGGTTATTCCATTAGCTATCTTAATTATATCACAGGCAGAGGGGAGGGATTACTGACTGTATGTAGGAGTGTTACAGTAATAATTATTGTTTCTATTGGTTTGTGTTCCTTGTGTCCCTGTGTTCCATCAGGTCTAGGGGGTGTGCCTCTGGCCTGAAATTGTGCTCAATAAACCAGATCTTCTTACCCTCAACTCGCAGCCTCGTCTCGTGTTGTGGGGAACAGCTATAACTGCTATATGACTGCTAGCTCTTGTAAGACCTCTCCCTTCAGCTATACTAGCTCTAAAGGATATCGGGTTGGCAGTGCTCTCTATCTATGGGAAGAAGGTTGTCCAGACGGTAGATACCCTCACTCTATAGCGGTAACCGTCACACATGGTGTATGTAATTCATCCCCTCTAATACTGTGGTGTATGGAATTTATCCCCCCTCTAATACTGTGGTGTATGGAATTTATCCCCCCACTAATACTGTGGTGTATGGAATTTATCCCCCCCCTAATACTATGGTGTATGGAATTTATCCCCCCTAATACTATGGTGTATGGAATTTATCCCCCCTAATACTATGGTGTATGGAATTTATCCCCTCTAATACTATGGTGTATGGAATTTATCCCCTCTAATACTATGGTGTATGGAATTTATCCCCTCTAATACTATGGTGTATGGAATTTATCCCCCCTAATACTATGGTGTATGGAATTTATCACCCCTAATACTATGGTGTATGGAATTTATCCCCTCTAATACTATGGTGTATGGAATTTATCACTCCTAATACTATGGTGTATGGAATTTATCCCCTCTAATACTATGGTGTATGGAATTTATTCCCCCTAATACTATGGTGTATGGAATTTATCCCCTCTAATACTATGGTGTATGGAATTTATCCCCCCTAATACTATGGTGTATGGAATTTATCTCCCCTAATACTATGGTGTATGGAATTTATGCCCCCTAATACTATGGTGTATGGAATTTATCTCCCCTAATACTATGGTGTATGGAATTTATCCCCCCTAATACTATGGTGTATGGAATTTATCCCCCCTAATACTATGGTGTATGGAATTTATCCCCCCTAATACTGTGGTGTATGGAATTCATCCCCCCTAATACTGTGGTGTATGGAATTCATCCCCCCTAATACTGTGGTGTATGGAATTTATCCTAATACCATGGTATGGAATTCTATCCTCTACTACTATGGTGTATGGAATTCATCCCCCAATACTATGGTGTATGAAATCTCTTATCACCCCTAATACTGTATGGTGTATGGAATTTATCCCCCACATGGAATTTATCCCCCTAATACTATGGTATGGAATTCATCCCCCCTAATACTATGGTGTATGGAATTTATCCCCCCCTAATACTATGGTGTATGGAATTTATCCCCCCTAATACTATGGTGTATGGAATTTATCCCCCCTAATACTATGGTGTATGGAATTCACCCCCCCCTAATACTGTGGTGTATGGAATTTATCCCCTCTAATACTATGGTGTATGGAATTTATCACCCCTAATACTATGGTGTATGGAATTTATCCCCCCTAATACTATGGTGTATGGAATTTATCCCCCCTAATACTATGGTGTATGGAATGTATCCCCCCTATTACTATGGTGTATGGTATTCATCCCCCCCTATTACTATGGTGTATGGTATTCATCCCCCCCTATTACTATGCTGTATGTTCGCAATAAATTCCATACCATTTCCCCTCCCCCATACTATGTTGTGTGCCCCTTAATATATTCCCTACCTCCCTTTAACAGGGTCCCTTTTTGATTTGATTTCCTGCAGTATATTCCTGGAGTTTTGTCACAATGGCAGGTAGAATATATTTTACTGTGCAGTTATTAAATCCCTGTTTCTATAATCTCTTTGTATCAGGGGGCAGCGAGGACCCACTTGACACAAATCCGCACAGCTTAGTATTGGAGAGTGATCTCCTTCTTGGACATGAGCAGGAATTCTCTGACAGCAGCGATCGATTCCTTTCTTTCTCCAAGGACTCAGAGGGTTAGTATATGCACCAATGGACCCAAAAAATAATAAAGTCAAAGCACACACAAAATAGGTTACCCTCCTTTAATTTTTGTAGAGGTTCTGTTTTTTTTTTTCGATATATGGCCTTTAATCCATGGCAGAAATGAAAATAAGCATATTATGTTATGACACAAACATGTGATCACACTTAATGCTTTACTCACTCTTGTCGGCTCTCTGATAGCTGTCTTTTGAATATGTTAGTTTCAGCATCCCAAACTGATTGAGAATCTGAGTATTGGCCGTTGTGGTTAATAAAGTTTTGTGTATTCAATATGGACATTTGCCCTCAGTTGTTCTGGACTTTCCAAGATGGCTGCGACCGTATATTCGGTAACACGGGGAGACGTACACGGAGATGTTGCGGCTGCTTAGAGGGACACAGGTGAGAAATCACTCCAGATAGGATCAGCATCAATAACTGGCGCCAGTGATTGGCGGAGAGCGGAAAGCAGAAGGAAATGTACCCGTGTGGCGGTACGAAAGGGGGGAATGCACCTGGAAGGAGCCTAGCATGGAAACGCAGTGTGCTGTTAGCTGGTTTTACATTTACAATACTCTGCTTTTTAATAAATTGTATATAGCTATTTCTAACTGGCTATCTGTGTTCCTTTGCATGCTTGATCCCGATATTAAAGGATGGTGACACTTGCGTATTCTCAAGACAGCTTTCAAATAGAGCTGACATTTGTGGCTCTGGAAAGAGTGAGTCCAGCCATCATATAAGCCTTTAGTGTTAGGAATACAAAGAGTTAAAAAACAAAACATTTTGAACATAAACCTGATTCCAGCGCCAAAGTTCCTCAGCGCTGGGTCAGGCTCCTCCTCCGCTGATGTCTTCCAAAGGAGGTACTAATCAATGCTCTCTGACGGGGTTTTAGAAGGCACTGGACGTCCTGATGCAAAGCGTGAATGTCAAACTTTGCAAAATGCCAGGAAGTGCCTCTAATGTAAACATTGCAGTGATTGTAACTGCGAGGGTAGGGACACTGCGTCCAGACCATTGCAGTAGGCTGTAATCTTGCAGCAGTTAGCTAGCGGTTAAATCTTATATTGTTGGAGGAGGTTATTAACCTTCAACACACACACACCTTAAAGGGACACTATAGTCACCAGAACAACTACAGCTTAATGTATATTATACAGCTTAATGTAGTTGTTCTGGTGAGTAGAATAGCTCCCTTTAGGCATTTGTATGTAAACACTGCCTTTTCAGAGAAAAGGCAGTGTTTACATTGCCACTAGGGATACCTCCAAGTGGCCACTCCCCAGATGGCCAGTGGAGGTGCTTCCTGGCTCAGGGCTGCACAGTAAGCAGCCCTGCCGTTCAGCGTCTCCACGCTCTACATGGAGACGCTGAATTTTCCTCATAGAGATGCATTGATTCAATGCATTACTATGCATTACTATGTGGAGGTCCTGTTTGGCAAAAACTGCATTTGGCCCCGCCCCCATGTCAGTTTTAGCCAATCCAATGCTTTCCCATAGGGAAAGCATTGGGTTGGCTCAAAATTTCCCATTTTCATGATGTCACAAAGGGGGCGGGTCAGCGCCAGCATACCCGCACGGTGCTGGAAATAAGGTGAGTTTTAAACTTTTATACGGGGGCTAAGGGGAGGCGGAGGGTGGGGGCAAGCCACATTAATGGTGGGTTTAGCACTATAGGGTCAGGAATACATGTTTGTGTTCCTGACCCTATAGTGTTCCTTTAACCTACAACAGAGACACCAGCCAGTATGTTGGGTTAAGGTGTTTGTGTGTGTTGAAGATGTGTGTTGAAGGTTAAAGGGTGTGTGTGTGTGTGTGTGTGTGTGTGTTGAAGGTTAAGGGGGGTGTGTGTGTGTTGAAGATGTGTGTGTTGAAGGTTAAGGGGTGTGTGTGTGTGTTGAAGGTTAAGGTGTTTGTGTTGAAGGTTAAGGGGTGTGTGTGTGTGTGTTGAAGATGTGTGTGTTAAAGGTTAAGGTGTGTGTGTGTTTTGAAGGTTAAGGTGTGTGTCTGTGTTTGTTGAAGGTTAAGGTGTGTGTGTTGAAGGTTAAGGTGTATATGGAAGGTTAAGGTGTGTGTGTGTTGAAGGTTAAGGTGTGTGTGTGTGTGTGTGTGTGTTGAAGATGTGTGTGTTGAAGGTTAAGGTGTGTGTGTGTGTTGAAGATGTGTGTGTTGAAGGTTAAGGTGGATGTGTGTGTTGAAGTTTAAGGTGTGTGTGTTGAAGATGTGTGTGTTAAAGGTTAAGGTGTGTGTGTGTGTGTGTGTTTTGAAGGTTAAGGTGTGTGTGTTTTGAAGGTTAAGGTGTGTGTGTTTTGAAGGTTAAGGTGTGTGTTTTGAAGGTTAAGGTGTGTGTGTTGAAGATGTGTGTGTTGAAGATGTGTGTGTTGAAGGTTAAGGTGTGTGTGTTGAAGGTTAAGGTGTGTGTGTGTTGAAGGTGTGTGTGTTGAAGATGTGTGTGTTGAAGGTTAAGGTGGATGTGTGTGTTGAAGGTTAAGGTGGATGTGTGTGTTGAAGGTTAAGGTGTGTGTGTGTGTGTGTGTTGAAGATGTGTGTGTTGAAGGTTAAGGTGTGTGTGTTGAAGATGTGTGTGTTAAAGGTTAAGGTGTGTGTGTGTGTGTGTGTTGAAGATGTGTGTTTTGAAGGTTACGGTGTGTGTGCTTTGAAGGTTAAGGTGTGTGTGTGTTGAAGGTTAAGGTGTGTGTGTGTTGAAGATGTGTGTGTTGAAGGTTAAGGTGTGTGTGTTGAAGGTTAAGGTGTGTGTGTTGAAGGTTAAGGTGTGTGTGTGTGTGTTTTGAAGGTTAAGGTGTGTGTGTGTGTTGAAGATGTGTGTGTTAAAGGTTAAGGTGTGTGTGTGTGTGTGTTGAAGATGTGTGTTTTGAAGGTTAAGGTGTGTGTGTGTGTGTGTTGAAGATGTGTGTTTTGAAGGTTAAGGTGTGTGTGTTGCAGGTTAAGGTGTGTGTGTTTTGAAGGTTAAGGTGTGTGTGTGTGTGTGTGTGTTGAAGATGTGTGTTTTGAAGGTTAAGGTGTGTGTGTGTGTGTGTTGAAGATGTGTGTGTTGAAGGTTAAGGTGTGTGTGTGTTGAAGATGTGTGTGTTTTGAAGGTTAAGGTGTGTGTGTGTTTGAAGGTTAAGGTGTGTGTGTTTTGAAGGTTAAGGTGTGTGTGTTTTGAAGGTTAAGGTGTGTGTGTTTTGAAGGTTAAGGTGTGTGTGTTTTGAAGGTTAAGGTGTGTGTGTTTTGAAGGTTAAGGTGTGTGTGTTTTGAAGGTTAAGGTGTGTGTGTTTGTTGAAGCTTAAGGTGTATGTGGAAGGTTAAGGTGTGTGTTTAAGGTTAAGGTGTGTGTTTAAGGTTAAGGTGTATGTGGAAGGTTAAGGTGTAGGTGTGTGTGTGTGTTTTGAAGGTTAAGGTGTATGTGGAAGGTTAAGGTGTGTGTGTGTTGAAGGTTAAGGTGTGTGTGTGTTTTTTGAAGGTTAAGGGTATGTGTGTTGAAGTTTAAGGTGTATGTGGAAGGTTAAGGTGTGTGTGTTGAAGGTTAAACTTGGTATTGGGTTGGTACATTGGGAAGACCCGCTTCAGTCTGGTTTCCGCGCTAAGCACTCTGTGGAAACGGCACTGACCAAAGTATCCAATGATCTACTCGCTGCAAAATCTCGTGGTCACTACTCTATCCTAATTCTCCTTGACCTGTCTACGGCTTTTGACACTGTTGATCATCAACAGCTTCTTCTCATCCTCCACAATATCGGTCTACAAGATATTGCTCTCTCCTGGTGCTCCTCCTACCTCTCCCAGCGCTCTTTCAGTGTTTCTTTCTCTGGCTCTGCTTCTTCTCCCCAACTCCTCTCTGTTGGTGTCCCCAAGGTTCAGTCCTTGGTCCCCTACTGTTCTCCATCTATACTGCCTCACTTGGTAAACTCATTAGCTCCTTTGGCTTCCAATATCATTTCTATGCAGATGACACGCAAATCTACCTGTCCTCTCCTGATCTCTCCCCGTCCCTCTTGACTAGTGTCTCTGACTGCCTCTCTGCTGTTTCTAACTGGATGGCTACCCACTTCCTTAAACTAAATTTGACAAAAACTGAAATTCTGGTCTTTCCTCCCTCAAGTGTTGTTACTCCTGTGTCTGTCTCCCTCCAAGTCAACGGTGCTACCATCAGCTCCACCACGCAGGCTCGCTGCCTAGGTGTTTTCTTTGACTCCGACCTCTCCTTCAAGCCTCATGTTCAATCTATCGCCAAATCCTGTCATTTCCATCTCAAAAACATTGCGCGCATCCGCCCCTACTTAACACCAGATGCGACTAAGGTGTTGGTCCATTCCACTGTCCTTTCTCGCCTTGACTACTGTAATCTGCTTCTCAGTGGTCTTACGTGCTCCCAACTTGTGCCATTACAGTCCATAATGAATGCGGCGATGAGGCTCATCTTCCTGTCCGCCCACACCTCCCATGCCTCACCCTTCTGTCAGTCCCTACATTGGCTTCCTATAAAATATAGAGCTCAATTTAAAATTCTGGTTCTTGCCTTCAAATCTCTACATAATGCTGCTCCCACCTATCTATCCTCCCTTATACACAAGTATGTCCCGTCTAGGCCCTTACGATCTGCGGAAGACTTACGTCTATCTTCTGTCCGTACTCCCACCTCTGATGCTCGCCTTCAAGATTTCTCGAGGGCTGCACCGTTCCTGTGGAACTTGCTTCCCTCCTCCGTTAGATGCTCACCCAGTCTCCACTCCTTCAAAAAATCGTTAAAAACCCACTTCTTCATAAAAGCTTATCAATTAAACTGTTAATAGCTCCTGACTGATTCCTCTTCTGCAACTGTCACTAGTCTAATACTATCCTTACCTTTTTGTGTCATTTTACCCCACTCCCTCTAGCATGTAAGCTCATTGAGCAGGGCCCTCAACCCCTCTGTTCCTGTGCGTCCAACTTGTCTGGTTACAACTACATGTCTATTCGTCCACCCATTGTAAAGCGCTGCGGAATTTGGCGGCGCTCTAACAATATCATAATAATAATTTCGGACACAGGGAATCTTGCCATATTTCATGGATTTGGATGATGGTACATTAGCTATTGATGTTTGGAGTGTTAGGAGTATAGGGGCTAAGTTTGGTATTGGGTGTAAACCACAGGGATTGTGAGGATTAAAAGTAATAGTATTACTTGAAAACACCTTCAAATCCACATTTACACTTTTGTTTTCCACTCCTTGCAGACTTATATTAACACGCTTCCTCCCGTATTACTGCATGAGCACCTGGGATGGGCAATAGCAGCATAAACCTTTTATTCCACCAACAACAATAGAAATATGCTTCCACTTGCTTATTATGAGTTCCGCAGAGTATCTGTGTGATCATAGGCATGCACAGCCCAATGCACCGAGAAACATATACAACTGCACACTCAGTGACACGTGTACACACAGTTACTGCACCGAGAAACATATACAACTGCACACTCAGAGACACGTGTACACACAGATACTGCACCGAGAAACATATACAACTGCACACTCAGAGACACGTGTACACACAGATACTGCACCGAGAAACATATACAACTGCACACTCAGTGACACGTGTACACACAGATACTGCACCGAGAAACATACAACTGCACACTCTGACGCGTGTACACACAGATACTGCTCCGAGAAACATATATGACTGCACACTCAGTGACACGTGTACACACAGATACTGCACCGAGAAACATATACAACTGCACACTCAGTGACACGTGTACACACAGATACTGCACCGAGAAACATACAACTGCACACTCAGTGACGCGTGTACACACAGATACTGCTCCGAGAAACATATATGACTGCACACTCAGTGACACGTGTACACACAGATACTGCACCGAGAAACATATACAACACACACTCAGTGACATGTGTACACACAGGTACTGCACAGAGAAACATATACAACTGCACACTCAGTGACACGTGTAGACACAGATACTGCACTGAGAAACATATACAACTGCACACTCAGTGACACGTGTGCACACAGATACTGCTCCGAGAAACATATACGACCGCACACTCAGTGACACGTGTACACACAGATACTGCTCCGAGAAACATATACGACTGCACACTCAGTGACACGTGTACACACAGATACTGCTCCGAGAAACATATACGACTGCACACTCAGTGACACGTGTACACACAGATACTGCACCGAGAAACACATACGACTGCACACTCAGTGACACGTGTACACACAGATACTGCTCCGAGAAACATATACGACTGCACACTAAGTGACACATGTACACACAGATACTGCACCGAGAAACATATACGACTGCACACTCAGTGACACGTGTACACACAGATACTGCACCGAGAAACATACAACTGCACACTCAGTGACGCGTGTACACACAGGTACTGCACCAAGAAACATATACAACTGCACACTCAGTGACACGTGTAGACACAGATACTGCTCCGAGTGAAACATATACGACTGCACTGCACACTACAGTGACGACTGCACACTCAGTACACACAGATACTGCTCCGAGAAACATATACGACTGCACACTCAGTGACACGTGTACACACAGATACTGCACCGAGAAACATATACGACTGCACACTCAGTGACACGTGTACACACAGATACTGCTCCGAGAAACATATACGACTGCACACTAAGTGACACATGTACACACAGATACTGCACCGAGAAACATATACGACTGCACACTCAGTGACACATGTACACACAGATACTGCACCGAGAAACATACAACTGCACACTCAGTGACACGTGTACACACAGATACTGCACCGAGAAACATATACGACTGCACACTCAGTGACACGTGTACACACAGATACTGCTCCGAGAAACATATACGACTGCACACTCAGTGACACGTGTACACACAGGTACTGCACCGAGAAACATATACGACTGCACACTCAGTGACACGTGTACACACAGGTACTGCACCGAGAAACATATACGACTGCACACTCAGTGACACGTATACACACAGGTACTGCACCGAGAAACATACAACTGCATGCTCTTAAAATAAAGTGAGTTTTATTCCTTTTGGGGGGGGGGAGGGCTAAGAGGGGGGCAAGCCACGTAAATGGTGGGTTTTATAGGGTCAGGAATACATGTTTGTGTTCGTGACCCTATAGTGTTCCTTTAAGAGAGGATAGGGGTTAAAGTGTGGGGGTAATGGGGCTGCATTTGGGGTTAGAGACAGTTTTAGGATGTTGGGTTTAGTTGGGTATAAATGTACTAGTGAGGGGAGTTAGGGGTTGTAGTGGAGGGTTAAAGCCAGTAGTCAGGGACAGGGGTTAGGAGCTGAAGTGGGGGGGATTAGGGGCTATAGAGGGGTAAAGAGAGGAGTGGTGTAGATAGGCTCAGGCAACAGTTAAAAAAACAAACAAACCACAAAATAAAGTTTCTGAAGCTTATCAGGGAGGGGGAAATCCTGACCCCTGTTGGACCGATAGGAAACTGGAAAGCGCAGATAACGTTGCCCTGGGTTATCGTGTTGACGCTGTAATACACTTGTGGCAGGACCGCTGCCTAAACTGTGAATTGCCTTGTTGTATATGTGTGGATGTGCCCTCCTAGAATGTGTTTTTTCCCTCTTTCATATTCCTCTCTTTGTAATTTTGACCATAAAATCCTGCAATATACTTTTTGACCGCCTGGGGGCGCTCTATTTAGAGTGAGGGGACCCTTAGATCTAGTGCGGGAGCACTGGGAAGGAGCCAGGGTACAGGGAGGAACCCCCATCGTTCTATATGTGCTGGAGTTTAGGGACCGGCTGATGGAACTCACCCATCTAGTGCGAGGGAACCTCCAGGTGGCTCAGAGGCGCAGGTGCACATGGTACGATCGAGGCGCCAGGAGCCGTAGTTTTCAAGTTAGGCAGAAGATTTTGTTGTTGATTTCGGTCCGACATGACAGGCTGCCTGGCAGGGCCCATACCGCATAGTGTTACATAAAGAGGACACTACCTATGTGATCGGCCCATGCTCTGGTACTGGAATCCACTGCCTGTTGCATGTGAACATGCTTAAGCCCTACCACGAGCGGACAAAGGATGTTTCCCCCATTTGCGCGCCAGCCTCGGAAGATTATGGCAGTCTTCCCCTGCCGGACCCTGCCAGAGAATGTGACTCAGGCAGGGTCCATAGAAGAGGTCCAGTTAGGGGACCGTCTAACCAAAAGCAAACGCAGGCAGGCGAAACAGATGTTGTTCGCCAAGCAAACGACCTTCTCCAACCTACCAGGGTATACCCCCCTGGCCACCCATAGAGTGGAGACCCCCAACCAACAGCCCCTACCAGGTGCCAGAGGCTGTGCAGGGGAGCATGCTACAGAAAATCCAGGAGATGCTCCAGCTAGGGGTCATCGAACCATCCATGAGCCCTTGTGCCTCCCCAGTAGTCCTAGTCCCGAAGAAAGACGGGACTACCAGGTTCTGCATGGACTACAGGAGGCTCAACGACAAGAAGGTCTCCGATGCCTACCCCATGCCCCTCATAGATGTGCTGCTCTATAGAATGGCTCAGGGCCGATACCTCACCACCATTGACCTATGCAAGGGATATTGGCAGATCCCATTGGCAGCAGATGCTGTCCCCAGGTCCCCCTTCGTCACCTCCTTTAGCCTGTACCAGTTTAAGCTAATGTCATTCGTGATGAAGAATGCTCCAGCCACCTTCCAATGGATGGCGGACCGGCTGTTAGATGGCCAACAGGATTATGCCTGTGCATACATGGATGACATTGCCATATACAGTGACTCTTCGGAGGAACACCTGGTGCACATGGGGGCTGTACTGGACTGGATCAGGGAAGCAGGATTAACTCTGAAGCCCAGTAAATGTACCCTAGGGATGGCAGAGGTACATTACCTAGGGCACCGGGTGGGTTGTGGGACACAGAAGCCAGAACCTGCCAAAGTGGAGGCAGTAGCTAGTTGGCACCGTTCCTCACTAAGACCCAGGTACTGGCTGTTACGGTACCTTCAGTAATAAATGTACAAACCGCCGTTTAGTGAATGCTCCCCGTTTGCAATAATGTTGTCTGGTAGCGTATGCAAAACAACCATGCGAACCGCCAGCCAGGGAACACTCCAAACTCCCGAACGGTACTCATACGGCTCCTTCCCTTCACGAGCCACAAGTTTCACGAACTGCCAATATCAGCCGAACGCCAATATCTTCCAAGCGGCAAATAATTCCAAAGAGCAGTCTCTAGTCGCCGGTAATAAAATCCCCCCCAATAACGAGACCAAACTCCGCTTTGAGGGTAAAACACAAACTGAGTTTACTGTGGGCTACCTGCCCGTATTTATGCAGGTCTCCCACTTGGTGGACACTCCCCTAGGGGACCAAATGGGAGACTGCAATAGCAGATGGACATGGGGACATTTCAGACATACAATTCCACAATATTCCCAGCATACATCACAGTTTCCTCCCCTCTGCCCGGGAGATAATTGAAAAGTAATTCAATTACCTCCCAGAGCAGAGGCAAATCGCCATTTTAAATACAAGTCACAAAACACATAAAAATACATAACTTTATAACTGCCGAACATATTACATTCGTGTAACACATCCCCAGATAGCCTGGATCTGAGTGCATATTATTGGCGAATAGCGCTCAGATCCCATACGCACAGTTCAATCGCCATGGAGTCAAAGTCTATTACAGTTCTTCGGTATGCGATTGACTCCATGGGAAGGCTATCTGGGGTAAGTCCATTCGTGCCTTTAAACCTCTCGAACGGCCGGTGTTCGCATACTTCTGTCGATTGAGAAGGGAGGTCGACGGCTTCAGCGGTGTTCGGTTGAAAAAGTGTCCGTTTTCAGTTCCATGAATTTAGTACCGAACACCGCTGGTCTTTCGCATGGTTAAAATGGCCGCCGCCTCGTGGTCGACATACGAACGACGACCACCCTGTATTCGGTTTTAATTGAGAAGTGTCTGTGGTTAACTGCAACGTTCTAATTGGGATCAATAGGTTAACCAGCAGCACACTTCTCTTCTGGGTGGCCGTCCGTTCGGCAGTTCCGTTCGACAGAAAAGTACATTCCCTTAAACAAGGCATACGAACGGGTAAATTCATGCAAACGGCAAAACAGACGAACACAGCAATCCTAGTTCATACGGATGGGTCTGTCACACGGCTCCCCCCTTGTGGAACACTCCGGCAGACCCGGCTTGACGGGTCAACTTGGGGATGACTGGACTATGAAGAAGTAGGGACGTCTATTTGCCGGGACAACCCATCCGCATTCCCATTCTGCTTACCGGGTCGGTAGCTGATAGTGAAGTTGTAAGGCTGCAGTGCCAAACTCCACCTCAGCAGTCTGCCATTGTCTCCTGAGACCCGGTTGTGACGGAACGGTGGCACTCCGACTGAGTACCTCCGCCAATCGATGCTCCTAGTGCTCGCTGAGGACTCCAAGCACTCCAACTGACACCATCAGCACTGCAGACCCCACTTCCAGCGATGCAACTGCGCCGGGGTCTCTGCTGCCTCCACCCACCCTGGACCCAAGGCCCACCCTGGACCCAAGGCCAGGATCCAGCTTCCAGTGGGTGAACCTCTCTTTTCCCCAGAGAGCAGGAACAGGAACAAGCTCTTAGCAGAACTTAGTGATCATACCCTGGGGAGTATAGTGATTATAGCAATCCCCAGAGTGTATTTCTCCAATCCCCCAAACATGAGCCAAGGCTTAATGCTGGAACAAGACTGATTTACTGGCACACAGAACTCACAATTTATGCAACACAAACTCCTCCTCTGGGCCAGGCTAGATAATTGAGTTTCTACAATACACAAAGCTCAATTATCTGCTGGCCAGAAATAATACAGTTTCATAAAACACACAGGGACCCCAAAACATGCAATAACCCCATAAAAAGTATATCCTTGGAACCGGGGGATCTGGTTGAACCACATATCCAAAATTCACCCAGATCCGTTCAGTACTTTGGAAAATACAGTTTAATGCAGATTCTGCAGAACATATACAGGCTAAATGAAAAACAATCACTGTATAATGTGTCCCCTGCTGTATAGTCTAAAACCACTGCACGATGTCTCTGTGCACCAAATACTGGCGAGATGGCACCGTGTTGAAAAGTCCAAACAGTGTCTGGGAGTTAAAATGGCCGCCATCCATTGTTCTCACCATGTGCTTCTGATACAGGAAATGGTGGCCACCCAGTAACTCCACAGTATGTCCCCAGATGGTTCTTAAAGGGCCAGCAGCAGCACAACACAAATCCATTATGCCCAAATCATATCTTTAAAGGGCAATACATGCCAGGGGCCATAGTCACAGGGCAAGAGACGGGCAAGCAGTCCTCTCCAGGCACAAGTGGCGAAGGGCACTTCGTCACACCGGTTAAGCCAGACAAGGGGATTGTGGTCTGTGATGAGGGAAAATTCTTGTCCGTATAAATAGGGGCTCAACTTCTTCGGTGCCCAGACCAGGGCTAAACACTCTTTCTCCCCTGCCACATAACTCACTTCCCGGGGTAATAGCTTTCTGCTGAGATATGCGACAGGGTGCTCTCCTCCTTCTTCCCCGACCTGGCTCAGCACAGCCCCCAGTCCATACATGGAAGCATCTGTATGAACGAGAAAACGTTTGTTAGGGACTGGGGCAGCCAGGACAGGGGCATTCACAAGAGCTTGCTTCAGGGCCTGAAACGCGGCTTCACAAGCTGGAGACCACAGGACCTGCTTAGGTAAATTTTTCTTAGTCAGGTCAGTCAAGGGCTTGGCAACCGTACTGTAGTCGGGGACAAAGCGTCGGTAATACCCTGCTGTCCCCAGGAAGGCCAATACTTGGGTCTTGGTGATAGGTGTGGGCCAGTTAGCTACAGCTTCTACCTTGGCTGGCTCTGGTCTCTGGCTCCCACACCCTACCCTGTGACCCAAGTACTGCACTTCTGCCATGCCTAGATGGCACTTGTCTGGTTTCAAGGTCAGGCCCGCGGCCCGAATCTTGTCCAGCACCACCCCCACGTGTACTAAGTGTTCTTCCCAGGACTCACTGTAGACCGCAATGTCATCCAGGTATGCACATGCAAATTCAAACTGGGTTTGCGCCATTCTCCTGGTTGATCGGCACGAGTAAAGCGCTGATTGGTCGCCGCAAGGAGCTAGCGACCAATCCAAGAAGGAGCGCTTGTTCAAACGGGGTTTTGCACTCTTCTTTCTGATTGGGCGGTGAAACGCCTCTCGTCCCTGGACGCTGATTGGTGCAGCCAAGTTTTGCGCCCTTTCTGCAGACTGGGCAGCGAAACTCCTTCCTCCCCCTAACGCATTCAAATTGAAGTTTGAATTCGCCGGACTAACCCAAGCAACACCATGGAACTAATTTCGGGGATGTACAGAGCCTTGAGCCCCAGACTTTCGATGCTGATATCTCTGGCTCTGTACATCCGATCGCCCCGCTTTTTGCAGGAGTTCTAGGGGGGACCCAGGGCTATTCATCATATATAAAGTACCCCCTTCCCGTCTGGGTGCACCGAGCCCCAAAGTTGAGCCCCCTGTGTGTAGCGGAGATCTAGTATTCCACTGGATATCTCCGCTCAGGATCCCAGTGAGGCTCAGGAACAAGTAATTATAAATCCATCAGGCAAGGTTTCCAGCAGGTAAAACAATATAGCAATATCCCAACAGCAATCCCAATAACTGGACGACACACAGAATCAGGAGCAGAACTAACTTTTTTTCCACAGTGGCCTTTTAAAGCATGCTCCCATGCAAGGGAGGGATTTCCATTAATTATTACAGTACCCAATCCTGTTCTGGTAACCTCCCACACATGTCTTCCCCTCAGCCTGACTCATAATCCCCTTATACAGTACACAAATTCCCTGAGTTTCTGGATGAACCCCTAAACCTAGGGGTACCCCTTTAAATGGCACATCCCCTGGTAGCCCAGATCTGGGTGAGCAACATATCCAAAAATCACCCAGATCGGACCAGGGGTTCGGGAAATCTATGGAGGTAATAAAAAGACCGACCGCGCTGGGGAGAACAGCCGAATTGGGTTCCATGCGATGGGGCCCTGCGGTCGGGCACAGTATAAGGGAACAAACTGCACGAAAGGCTAAGGTTACAGAGATAAGGTAGGGTTCGCATGAATCTCCTCGTTCGGTTGTTTCTTTCTACCGAACGAGGGGCCGTTCGGTAGTTTGGAGCGAACGTATGGTGCGTATGGAGGTATCAGTGGTGTTTGCCTAGCCGAGTGTCCGATTTGGGTTCCAGACACTCGACGGCAAAACACCGCTGTTCGGGAGTTTTAAAATGGCCGCCGCCACGTGTTCGTTTCCCGAATGGCGGCCACCCCCGAGAACAAAGGACCCACTGCACAGCTTGTCAATTACCCGTTCGCAACATTGTTGCAATGGGTAATTGAAGGCACACTTCACACAGGGGAGGTCTGACTGTTCGGTAGTTTCATTCCCTTAGTTGTTCGAATGATTCTACCGAACAATCAGACGAATACAACCTATTTTTACACATATAACCCTGCAATTTACACGAATACATTCACACATATGCAATTTCCAGGACAGCCCAGTGCCATCCGCTACACTGTGCATAAAAAGCTATGTGCCCAAATAAATATTGTCAAAGATTGTATCCTGGAACTGTGTCCCATCCAGTTACTGGGGGGATGGGTCTGACCTATCCCAACAAAAGGGTATAACCAGCCAGGTTACACAGGTCCCGCTACAACAGTAGGAGAGGAGAACTTGACCTGGATGTACAGACAAAGTTCTCACTCCTCCTCGGCATCAGTGGCCAACTGAGAACGGTGGCCTTGGCTTGTCTTCTCAGGTTGGGTGGTGACAACGATCAGGGAACACAGACCTTTTTGATCTCCCTGCCGGCTTGTTTAGCATTAGGGTATGCCTAGACACCCCGTATTTGATATAGCAAGGAATGAAGTCCTGATATTCTGTTTCCACACACCTCAATCAGCATCCTTCCTGGTTTTACACTGTCATAGTTACATAGTTACATAGTTACATAGTTACATAGCTGAAAAGAGACTTGCGTCCATCAAGTTCAGCCTTCCTCAGAAATGTTGTTGCTGTTGATCCAAAAGAAGGCAAAAAACCTGGTCTGAAGCACTTCCAATTTTGCCACAAACTAGGAAAAAATTCCTTCTTGACCCCAAAATAGCAGTCAGATGTCTCCTTGGATCAAGCAGCTATTACCCCACTAATTAGAAATTATATCCCTGTATGTTATGTTTTTGTAAGTATTTATCCAATTTCAGTTTAAACATCTGTATGGACTCTGACAAAACCACCTCTTCAGGCAGAGAATTCCATATCCTTATTGTTCTTACTGTAAAAAAGCCTTTTCTTTGCCTTAGATGAAATCTCCTTTCTTCCAGCCTAAATGTGTGACCTCGTGTCCTATGTATAACCCTGTTTATGAATAGATTTCCAGATAAAGGTTTGTACTGGCCCGAATATATTTGTATAAAGTTATCATATCCCCTCTCAGGCGCCGTTTTTCCAAACTAAACAGATTTAATTTTTGTAACCTTTCTTCATAACTAAAATGCTCCATTCCTTTTATCAATTTTGTAGCTCGTCTCTGGACCCTCTCCAGTGCCATGATATCCTTCTTTAGAACAGGTGCCCAAAATTGCACAGCATATTCAGGTGTGGTCTTACCAGCGATTTATAAAGAGGCAAAATTATATTTTCATCCCGAGAATTTATGCCCCTATTTATACATGACAAAATCTTACTGGCCTTAGCAGCTTGACATTGCATATTGCTGCCTAATTTGTTGTCTATAACAATTCCCAAATCCTTCTCGTGTGTGGTTATCCCTAATTCACTACCATTTAGTGTGTAAGTTGCTTGTGCATTCTTAACCCCGAAGTGCATAACTTTGCATTTCTCTATGTTAAATTTCATCTGCCATTTTAGTGCCCAGTCCCCCAATCTATCCAAATCTCTCTGCAACAAAGCAATATCCTGCTCACATTTTATTACTTTACAAAGTTTTGTGTCATCTGCAAACACTGATACATGGCTTTCAATGCCTATTTCAAGATCATTTATAAATATGTTAAATAGAAGTGGTCCCAAAACAGAACCCTGAGGGACACCACTTACCACTTTTGTCCAGCCTGAAAATTTACCATTAATGACAACTCGTTGTACTCTGTCCTTAAGCCAATGTTCTACCCAAGAACAGGAATATTCATCTAGACCAATTTCTTTTAGTTTGAAGACTAACCTATTGTGAGGAACCGTATCAAATGCCTTGGCAAAGTCCAAGTAGATCACATCCACTGCAACACCCTGATCTATACTTCTACTTACTTCTTCGTAGAATGCAATTAGGTTAGTTTGACATGACCTATGTTTCATAAAACCATGCTGATTATTGCTAATAACAAAGTTCTTCCCAATGAATTCCTGAATATTATCCCTTAATAGCCCTTCAAATATTTTCCCAGTTACTGAAGTTAAGCTCACAGGTCTATAATTTCCAGGCAAGGATTTTGAACCCTTTTTAAATATAGGAACAACATCTGCCTTCCTCCAATCCTCCGGTACAACACCTGAAACAAAAGAATCTTGAAAAATTAAATACAGAGGTTCACTTATTTCCCCACTTAGCTCCTTAAGTACTCGTGGGTGAATACAGTCAGGCCCCGGAGCTTTATTTACATTAATTTTCTTTAATAGCTGTAGCACCTTGTCTCGAGTTATCCAGTCACAAGTTATTTGCAAGTTTTTTGCAGCAAACATTTGCATATCTCTTGCCATAGGATCCTCATTAATATATACTGAAGAAAAATAGTTATTTAAAATTTCTGCTTTTTCCTGGTCTTCATTAGCTAATAAACCCAACTCTGTTTCAAGTGTACCTACACTTTCATTTTTTGTTTTTTTAGAATTGATGTACTTGAAAAAATTTTTGGGGTTGGTTTTGCATTCTTTAGCTATCAATTTCTCATTTTCTAGTTTAGCCACTTTAATTGCCTTTTTGCAAGTGTTATTGGCTTCCTTATATCTTAAATAGGATGCCTTTGATTTGTCTGATTTAAATGCTTTAAATGCCCTTTTCTTATTTTTAATCTCTTGTTTTACTTCTCTACTAAGCCACATTGGTTTTAATTTGTTTCTTTTATATTTATTACCCAATGGTACATACTGAGAAATGTACCTTTCTAATATATGTTTGAACAGTTTCCATTTATCCTCAGTGTTTTTATCACTAAGGAGTTTATGCCAGTCGATATGTTGTAGAGCTGCCCTAATCTTATTGAAATTGGCTTTTTTAAAATTATATGTTTTAGTATACCCCACCTGCTTTTGCTTTTTTGAGTTTATTTCAAAATTTACCATATTGTGATCACTATTTCCCAAATGCTCCCCTACTTGAATGTTGGTTAAAAGATCAACATTGTTTGTTATGACAAGATCCAGACAAGCATCCTGTCTAGTTGGTGCTTGTACCAGTTGTGACATAAAGGTGTCATTTAACACATTCAAAAACCTGATTCCCCTTGCTGAAGTACTAGTCCCTCTTTCCCAATTTATGTCTGGATAATTAAAATCTCCAATAATTAACGTGTTACCTCGATTTGCAGCTTTCTCAATTTGCTCTAACAGCTGTTCTTCCTCATTAATATTTACATTAGGTGGTTTATAACATATCCCAACCAATAATTGATTTCCCTTTGTTTTCCCCAAGCAGATATCTACCCATAAAGCCTCCACCTTTTCCTCGTCACACTCCACATGCCTAAGATTTGACTTTAACTCACGGTTGACATATAAACATACCCCACCACCCTTCTTGTTTTTCCTATCCTTCCTAAATAACGTATACCCATTTAAATTAACTGCCCAGTCATGTGTCTCATCCCACCATGTTTCTGTTATGCCTATTATATCATATTGTTTAGTGTATGCTATTGCCTCTAGTTCCCCCATTTTGTTATATAGGCTCCTTGCATTAGTAAGCATACATTTAATATTATCATGAGTCTTTTGTACTTTTTGTGAATTATCAATATTACATACCTCCTCTGTTCTGAGTTTTCCCCTCCCCCCATCTCCACCCCCTTTGTTCTGAGCTAAAGCCCATCTCTTTTCCATCATATCTCCATTTTCTAGATTGCTTTGACCCTCCCCCCCTACCACTAGTTTAAAATCTCCTCCAACCTTCTAGCCATCCTATCCCCCAGCACAGCAGACCCTCTTCCGTTTAGGTGCAATCCATCATGACTATACAGGTTGTACCCAAGTGCAAAATCGGCCCAGTGCTCTAAAAACCCAAAACCCTCTTTCCTGCACCAAGACTTTAGCCACGCATTGACCTCTCTAATCTCCCGCTGCCTTTCTGCTGTAGCGCGCGGCACAGGTAATATTTCTGAAAAAATTACCTTGGAGGTCCTTTTCTTAAGCTTACTTCCTAGTTCCCTGAACTCATTCTTTAGGACCTTCCATTTTCCTCTGACTTTGTCATTGGTACCAATATGGACCATGACAGCTGGGTCATCTCCAGCCCCTCCCAATAATCCCTCCACTCTGTCGGCAACATGCCGGACCCGAGCACCCGGGAGACAGCAAACTGTCCGGTTGAGTCGATCAGAGTGGCAGATTACCCTATCTACTCTCTTAATAATAGAGTCCCCTACCACCACAACCTGTCTAGCCTTCCTTACCCTCTCAACCCCACCCGTACTAGAGGGGCTGTTTCCACGGCTGTTAGCAGGAACAGCTTCCTGCAGTACAGCTACTCCTGAGCTGATGCTCCCAACATCTTCACTCAAACGGGCAAATCTGTTAGGCTGCATGAGATCAGGACTAGCTAAACCTTTTCTCTTCCCTCCCCCCCTGCTTCCTCTCCCCACTGTCACCCAGCTACGTGCCTGTTCCCCATCTGTCTTATCTCCTCCCTCTCCACTACCTGTCCCCACTAAACTCTGCTCAGTGAGCAGCAGACTCCTCTCAAGATTGTCAATCTCCCTCAGTGTTACAATTTGCCTCTCCAGATCTCTAATCTGAGCTTCCAGAAATGCCACTCGCTCACACCCACCACAGAGGTATGGACCCTGGACAGAACCATCCAGGCATGCATACATGCGGCATGATGTGCACTGAGTTAAATTTGCAATCTTGCTAGCACTCATCCCCAGTAACAAAAAACACAAGTGAGAAAAAAAAAAAAAAAAAAATATTTACCCTCTTTGGTTAAACTCCCTTGTAGTTTTAACTCCTGTTGTTTTAACTCCTACTTAAAAGAGACTACTTTAAATAGTCTACTTTCAAGCAAACTCCAGTGAGCAAGCTCTGTGAGTCAGTAGTGGGTTTATATTTGCAATACAAATCCCACACAGGTGGAAATTAAGGGGCACTCCCCCTAATTAGCTCAGCAGCAGCAGCACCCACAAGGAGGGGAATAGAAACAACAAGAGAGGGGGAAAAAAAAAAGAGGGAAAATGTTTTAAATAATACCAGCAAGGTGAAAATATATAAGAGAAAAAAAAAAGGAACAAAGTTTAAATATATCCAAAGAGAAAAAATATATATGAAAAGGGGAAAAAAGTTACAAAATATTAAAATAAATCAAAACAGTAAGGAGAAATAATTTGTTTTTTTTAAAAAGGGTAAAGTAAAAACAAAACAAAAACAAAAAAAAACACAAAATACAAACAAAACAAAACCCAAAAAGAGAGAAAAAAAAAAAAATACTAAAATTTAAACCTGCTTTTCTTTTCCACTTGGTATTAACTAATACCAACCACAGTCCACCAGTTCACCAACAAACTCCTGTTGTTTTAACTCCTACTTAAAAGAGACTACTTTAAATAGCCTACTTTCAAGCAAACTCCAGTGAGCAAGCTCTGTGAGTCAGTAGTGGGTTTATATTTGCAATACAAATCCCACACAGGTGGAAATTAAGGGGCACTCCCCCTAATTAGCTCAGCAGCAGCAGCACCCACAAGGAGGGGAATAGAAACAACAAGAGAGGGGGGGGGGAAAAAAAGAGGGAAAAAGTTTTAAATAATACCAGCAAGGTGAAAATATATAAGAGAAAAAAAAAAAATCTGTACAATCTGTACAAAATTTTATTAACTCCTCGCTCTTTATTGCCAAGCCTGATCATTCAGTCCTATAATATGCTGGTTTGCAGATTTGAGATAGAGATAGATATATATAATTTTATAGGCTTTTTACCCTTTAATGTCTTGCATCTGCTCCTCTCTGCAGATTCTGTGGTGTGCAAGATGGAGATGCCCTGTTACTCTCTGAGTGAAGATGAATACTCTGTGTACCACCCACTCAGCGCAGAGAGTGATCCTGAGGAGGTGTCTCTAGGAGAAATAAAATCTCCTTGCGGGCAGTGTGAGACTCATTTAGGTGGTGCGTCACGCTGTCTGGACCTGGCACTTGGCCGTCGCAGTTTGCCTTTCTTCAAGTCCTCTTCCTCTGTGTGTGGGTCTCCATCTCCTTTAGAAACCACAACGGAATTGGCTTCACTGGGACAAAAGGAACGGCTACTCTTTCCCTGCCAATTGTGCTCATTCTCCACCCACTACTCGAGCCATCTGAAACGCCATATGAAGACCCACAATGGAGAGAAACCCTTTTGTTGCCCTCACTGCCTCTATGCCTCTGCACAGCTAGTCAACCTGAAACGTCACCTTCGCACACACACTGGGGAGAAACCCTTTCGCTGCGATCACTGCAGTTTCTCCTGTAGTAGTCTTGGCAACCTGAAGAGGCATCAGCGAGTCCATACACAGGAGAAGCCCTACTCTTGCAACTTGTGTTCTTACCGTTGCAACCAAAGCCGCAACCTGAAAAGACATGTATTGGGCCACCGTAGGAGAAGGCAGCGTCACGAATCCAGGATAGATGGAGATGATGGGGAGGAGGAGGAGGAATGTGAACCTAGCTCAAAGAATGCAGATGGTTAGTATCAAGTCTGCAGTAAATTATACTCTAACTCTTGTTTTATTACCCCCATTAAGGCCTTCCAAAAAAAAAATAAGTGATATGTATCTAGGTAGCATGGAGTGAGCTCCTCCCACTGCAGGGTGACACACAAACTGCCCCTCTGGACACGAATTCTGGCCCTCCTACTGCAGGGTAATTTCAAGTCTGTCCCTCCAATTTAGAGAAGGGGGTTTTGGGACCCTGAGTCTGCCCCTCCCACTGCAGGGTGACACAGACAAGAGCTATGGTACACAATCTGCCTCTCCAACTGCAGGGTGACACAGACAGAAGGGCACTCTGGGACACCGTCTGTCCCTCCCACTGCAGGGTGATACAGACAGAAGGGAGCTATGGGACACAGTCTGTCCCTCCCACTACAGGTTGATGTAGACAGAAGGAAGTTACGGGACATGGAGTTTGACCATCTCACTCCAGGGTGACACAAACAGGAGCTATAAGAAGCTATACCTCTTCCTACACCTTCAGAATGACGTGCTCATAGTGATATTTGCTGTTAGATTTTAATGTTGTGTTATTTTACTTTGACAGTGGCTGTCCTTGCTCTCCCAGTCACCTCCAGTGCACTTGATAATTTTCTGCCAACCAGTGTTCATATGAACTGTGCCACTTCACCCTCAGCCCCTCCCCCTCGCCCTGATGATGGCCTCCCAGAGCTACTCTTTCCGTTCACATGCCGTTTCTGTGGGCTGGTCTTAGATGAAGGATGCCCCCTAGATGATGATGACGATGATGGAGTAGCAGAGGGACAGTCTTGCTCTCGTTGTAGTGCTTCTGATCCTGAGAGTCCTGGCAAAGGGTTTTCCTGTGGTTTGTGCTCTTTTGTTACTCATTACCCCAACCACCTCTCTCGACACATGAAGACCCACAGTGGTGAAAAACCCTACAAATGCCAACTATGCCAATATGCTTCTGCCCACTATGACAACCTTAAGCGTCACCAACGAGTACACACAGGTGAGAAGCCCTACAAATGCCAGCTGTGCGACTATGCCTGTGGTAATCTTGCAAACTTAAAACGCCATGGCCGCATCCACTCAGGCGACAAGCCTTTCCGCTGTGGTCTCTGCAAATACAGCTGTAATCAAAGTATGAACCTTAAACGCCACATGCTCCGACATACTGGGGAGAAACCCTTCCGCTGTATGCAGTGCCACTACACTACTGGACACTGGGATAACTACAAACGCCACCAGAAAACTCACGGCCACTCTGTGGAGGGCTGGGTTAACCCTCAACGCAGTTTCAAAAATATATCAAATCAATCTGCTGGGTTAGGTAAGAGCAGATGACTGTCGGCATTTCTTTTTCGAGGGATTCAGAGGTTGAACACTGGAACATGATAATCTAGAATGGTTTACAACACACATAGTATAAAAGAACCTTTAATGTAAACAGTGTATGTGCAGCTTCACAAAGTAACATATATTGGTTGTGAGAAATTGTTTTGGATGTAATAAAAACATTACAAATGTAGAAATGCTGGAAAAAGCACGGTCATCTATGTAATGTACAGCAAAGTCTTCTGTCCCAAATACTGATTTCTCATCCTAAAGTGCATTCTGCCCTTCTAGGACATGTAAAAAAAATTAATATAATAATAATACAGCTCTCTGTTGTGGTTCTGCTTTAATTCATTTTTTGACAATTTGTTTTTAACAAAAATACACTCTGATTTTTTTGGATGATTTTATTATTGTATGGCAATAATAATGAGTGCTGAGCTAGTCTTTAATTGTCATGATGCTTAGAATATTTAGACAAAGCTTTCCTAGAGGTAGATTGCACGTCTTACACACACCTAGTGTGCAATATGGGAATAACAATATAATCCTAAAATTGAAATGTTACCTATTCTAACATGGACGAGGGCTTGACAGATACCCCCACCAAACTGAACAAATGCTACTACTTACACATATCTAAATGCAGACAAGAACCTACCTGTTGGCCCATCTTAGCACAGATAAGCAGTGACTTATTTGACAACCCGCCTTAATTCATAGCAGTGCTTTGACTACTCTGTTGGCCATCTAAACCCAGACAAGCACTGACTAATCCATGGACCATTCTCTGCTTAAACGAGTGCTGAATGATCCATTGACCTGAATCAGGCCTGTGACTGCTCTGTTGGACCACCTCAATCCTTGCCAAATATGAGACTGATCATTTGCCCATCTCAATCCTGGATTTGTCAAGTCCCTTTTCATCAAGGTATTTGTTACTTACCCATAATGCTGCATCAACCCTCATAAGCTGTTTTTGTAGGTGTCAACCCATCCCCACCTGGCTGAACACTAACTGCTCAGTCAGCCCATCTAACCCAGAAGAGCACTGAGTAATCTATTGGCCTGTTTTAAATAGAACAAGAGGTGACTGATCCATTGGCTTATGTGAACCTGGACAATTGCAAAACTTTTGGCTCACTCATTGCTCTATGAACAAACTGTGAACCATTGCTGAGCTTTAGTTTTAGGCCTCTGCCAGCTTTCTAGCAAATCTCACCCCAGACAAGTAGTTACCTATCAGCTCATCTCAACTAGTGACTCCCATTTCAACCCGGAAGAGCAGTCATCGGTACTTCATCTCAACCTGGACTACACAACTGCACTGGCCTGTCTTGATCCAGACATGCACTGTCCTGTCAACTTGTCCAACCTGGACAAGTGCTTACAACTCCATCAACCCGTCTGAACCCTGACAAATGCAAACCTTTCAACCTGGACAAGTGCTGGTGAATTGAGGCCCCTCCTTGCTCCCAGACGATTAATGATTCATCAGGCCTACAACTGACTTGTGTTGGCAAATGACTTCGTCTGAACCTGGACATGCAATGTGATGTCTGAAAAAGAGCTGCTGTATTGTATTTGCAATTACTTGTTCCCTCTGTTGGAGGGAAGGAGTTTCTTGTCCATGTAGGCTCTTTAAATACAGCAGCTGGTATGTTTTGTAATCAGAGTGCTTTTGTATTATTGATAAAATTGTCATCTATTATTTTTATTCCTCCTCTAATCTGGTGAATGTAGTGAGTCTTTTAATTTACTCTGCCATGTCACAGACTTACGCATCCTTCCTGCACCTTCCTGGCTCCCATGCCACAGACTCACACATCCTTTGTGCAGCTTTCTGTGAATTTCAGAAATTCAGCAGATTGTGAGTCTTTTGGGCTGATACTGTCTCTTTTAATGGATATTTAAGAGTGTGGTGGACCGCCTGGCACCCCGGTGTCTCGAGGATGCTTCTCTACTCACTAGGAAGCCATCCCACCGCTGCCACTAGATGTGGCCGACTGCCTGGTACCCCAACTGGGTGCCTCCTCCAATCACTGTTTCCTAGTAACACAGAGTACTTACAAGCACTCCACCCAACACCACAACCACTATAGTCCCCGTAGCCAGCGTTGCAGCTTGGCTGGGGACTCGCTGTCCTCCACCCACCCTGGACCCAAGTCAGGGATCCAGCTTCCAGTGGGTAAAGCAGGCAGAACCATGTTATAATCCAAGGGAGTATAGTGATCATAGCAATCCCCAGGATAGTGAATATAGCTGTTCCCTCCACACATGAGACAAGGCTCTATGTTGAAGGTGAAATGGAACTGATTTAATGGGAGCCACAGGCGTCCTTTTATGTTAGTCCCCATGCAAGGGGTTTCCTGATACATATTCCACGGGCATTCCCCACTGGACCTGAGAGGATACTAGTTACAAGCAAACATTTATCATCCTCCTCCTCTGTGCCTGAGAGATAATTACCTGAGCACACAAACATATAATTGAATTATCTCCCAGTACAGAAACATGCAGTATAACAAAACCTCAAAAATACCCCCAAAACACATGAAAACCTCACAAAAGTTAATTAACGAAGACAATGGACTAACTCAATTAACTCTAAGCAGAAAAAAACCATTCATTTTTACAAACCCCAAAAAGTACCCCAAAATACAACACATCCCCTTATAGTCCCAATCTGGGTGAACAACATATTCAAAAATCACCCAGATCGGTTCAGGGGTTCAGGAATTTCCTGGAAGTCTTATTTTTGCCCAACGTGCACATGGTCCCATGCCCAAAACAGTTGCATATACTTTACGACAAAACACTGCTGGACAATTTAAGATGGCCGCCGCCACATGTTTGAATCTGTTCCAGTTAACAGTCCAAGGGGCATTGTGCCACGTCCCAATATACACAAATAGTGTTTGGCAATACACCCTGGGGGCCATAGTCACAGGGCAAGAGGCTGGCAAACAGGCCCCTCCAAAAACCGGTGGCAAAGTTGCTTTCGTCACAGTCTGCAGCTCTGCTTACTGCAGGGCTGCAGACTGGTTTCTGCGATGGCTGGCCAGGCACACAGGAGGGGCCACGCACCCGGTGGCATACTGAGCAAGCTGCCGGGCCCCCTCCTGGTGTCGGGTCCTAAGTCACTGACCGAGGACCTGACACAGTCTGCCCTTAGGCGGTTTAGGTGGCCGCGAGGCAACAGCCAGCGCAAGGCCTTAGGCGGCCCCTAATTAGAGAGCCGCCTCTGCCCTGGTGTGTAAATCCACATCTCTGTGCATAAAAAGCTGTGTGTTCAATAAAGCTGTTCTCTATTCCCCTACATTTAGTCTCGGCTAATGTGTGGGGAAAACTAACTATAATCACTGCTTCACAGGAGAAAGTGGTCTCCAGAGCTATAATCACTGCTTCACAGGGGAAAGGGTCTCTTACTGCAAAGAGCTATAATCACTGCTTCACAGGAGAAAGAGTCTCTCACTGCAAAGAGCTATAACCACAGCAGCCTGGTCCAGGGTGGCAGAGCTGCACAGAGACCCCAGTCAAGCTGCAGCAACTGGGTCTTAAGGGCTCCAGGGTCCATGATTGCAGCTAGGAAGCAAATTTGACGGAGATACTCAGAGTACAGGAGCTCCATTACACTGTATATTAAGCAATATATATAATACATTAAGTCGTATACTATACATTAAACTGTATTCTGCACATTAAGCTGTATACTGTACATTAAGCTGTATATCGTACATTAAAGGAGCACTATAGGGTCTGGAACACAAATGGTGGAATCCCGATGGCTGCCATGTCATGGTTGAATCCCGATGGCTGCCATGTCATTGTGGAATCCCGGTGGCTGCCATGTCATGGTGGAATCTCGATGGCTGCCATGTCATGGTGGAATCCCGGTGGCTGCCATGTTATGGTGGAGTTCCGGTGGCTGCTAAGTAATGGTGGAATCCCGGTGGCTGACATGTCATGGTGGAATCTCTGTGGCTGCTATGTCATGGTGGAATCCCGGTGGCTGACATGTCATGGTGGAATCTCGATGGCTACACGAACCATGTTTGGGAGATATGGCTGACATGTTATGGTGGAATTCCGGTGGCTGACATGTCATGGTGGAATCTCGATGGCTGACATGTCATGGTAGAATTACAGTGGCTGCCAAGTAATGGTGGAATCCCGGTGGCTGCCATCTCATGGTGGAGTCCCAGTGACATGTCATGGTGTAATCTCAATGGCTGTCATGTTATGGTGGAATTCCAATGACTGCCATGTTATGGTGGAATTCCGGTGGCTGCCAAGTAATGGTGGAAGCTCAATGGCTGCCATGTTATGGTGGAATTCCGGTGGCTGCCAAGTAATGGTGGAATTCTGTTGGCTGACATGTCATGGTGAAATCCCGGTGGCTAACATGTCATTGTGGAATCCCGGTGGCTGCCATGTTATGGTGGAATTCCGGTGGCTGCCAAGTAATGGTGGAATTCTGGTGGCTGCCAAGTAATGGTGGAATCCCGGTGACTGACATGTCATGGTGGAATCCCGGTGGCTGCCATGTCATGGTGGAATCCTGGTGGCTGACATGTCATGGTGTAATCTTGCTTGATGGCTGCCATTTCTTGGTGGAATCCTGATGGCTGCCTTGTCAGGCTGCCATGTCATGGTGGAATCCCGGTGGCTGACATGTTATGTTTAATCTCGATGGCTGCCATGTCATGGTGGAATCCCGATGGCTGCCATGTCATGGTGGAATCCCGGTGGCTGCCATTTCATGGTGGAACCCCTGTGGCTGCCATGTCATGGTGGAATCCCTGTGGCTGCCATATCATGGGGGAATCCCGGTGGTTGCCATGTCCTGGTGGAATCCCGGTGACTGCCACTTCCTGGTGGAATCCCGGTGGCTGCCATGTCATGGTGGAATCCCGATGGCTGCCATGTCATGGTGGAATCCCAGTGGCTATGATGTCATGGTGTAATCCCGGTGGCTACCAGGTCATGGTTGAATCCTGGTGTCTGCTACTTTTCTCTTTTGCTCTTTTGCTCTGGTCCGTTTGCATTCTGTAATAATTTTACTATTCTTCCTTTGTACTATTTATGTACGTTTTAAAAGAACACTTCAAGCACCATAACTTCTACAGTGCCCTGGCGTCTTCCCAGAGTAATTTCTCAAACCTGCATTTGTCGTGAACTTGTTGTCCAAGAGTTACTGCTAAGCAGCACATTTATACGATTTGGTTTGCTGATTGGGGTTTTCACAAAAATACTTATTAAATGCAGGTCATGTGTTATGTGACACTAACTATCCATATGTTTCCAGCGTTGATAGAGGAGAATGTCATCTTCACACTCATCTTTTGTTAGAAAATTCTGCTTCTGGCTGGAACTCCTTGGACATGGCTTGTCTATGTGAAGAGCCATGGTCTCAGTCAGGATTATGTCAAATTAAAATTGGATTCCAGACAATTCATACTGAAGCAAGTGATCCAGCAGTTATAGGCTCATTAAATCCAGAAGAAGAATCAGGTTATTATGGTATTTCCATTTATAACACTCTCTAAACGGAGAAATTAGGACATTTTCCCCGTCATAGGCCAAAACTGAATATGAAAAAAGTGATGTTTTCCAATTCAGTTATTTTGATCTAAAACATTACACTTCCTGATCAATTCCAAACAATTCCTGATTTAGTAATAATTATAGTCACATAATGATTACTGCCAGTGATCACAGAAAAATATTCTCCTCTTTCAGAAAGATTTGTTAAATAATATGTGATACAGCCCTTCTTTTTATTTTTAGGAACTACAGCATGATCTGCCAATAAGCATACATCGCAATGGCGATAATATATAATAAAAAGCTAATTGTGAAGGATTCTCCAAATTCATTCGGCTGTTTTCCCTCCCTGCTATTTAAGTGCCTGGAAAGCATTTGTTTTATTTGTTCATTCGGTAAATCCTTCGTTTTACTGAACAGATACCACCGTGGGTAGTGTAACAACAAGCCCAGTATGACTGCAAAAGACAAATGGATTATACAGCCGTTCGGTATTTTTGTAAGCATTCACCATGCGAATGCTTACCTGCCTTAACAGGCCACCCTGACTGCTAATTATGGCCAATTTACCTCCCTGGTTGATGGGCACTTTATTCGAATCAACCGCACGAACGCTATGGGAACTGTAAGCTCAGCCGCCATTTCGGGACTTACACGTGTTCGCGGCCATTTTAACTCCCGAACAGCAGTGTTTGCCGATGAATGTCTGGAACTAAAATCGGACACTCAAACAGGCGAACACCGCTGAGACCTCCATACCTTCGGGAAAACATCACCAAACCTACCGAACGACCGGGCGTTCGGTAGAAAGAATTAACAGCAGATGGGGATTTCAGCAAACCCAGGATGGTATACGGATGGCGGCCGTTCGGGAGTTTTTACCCACGTTCTTAGACCGACTGCAGGGCCAGCATTCATGGAACTGTTTTCGGCTACTGTGCCCGTGCGGTGGGTCAAAACTTCTAAGTCCTATATCTCCCGAACGGCTGAACCGATTGAGCTGATTTTTTCATATGTTGGTACCTGAAATATAAGCTATCTGGGGATACCAATACCAAGTATTTGGGGTACATCCAAACTTTGGGGAAAAACTGTTCTTTTTTAATTATGTTATGTAGTTATCTGAGGGGAGGGAATTTACCGAATGTATATTGTATGGATTGGTTGTACTGCTAATTATGTGGGTGTCTCCCTTGCATGGGCAGAATCCCATAAAAGCAGAGTGTGTGTTATTAAACCTCAGTTCTTCTTGACCCTTCAAAACGTAGCCTCGTCTCGTTCTTGAAAGGGGAATCTCTGCAGCTTAATCACTTAGCTCTTTTCAGAGCTGCACCTGGCTTCCACTCTTGTTCCAGCAGAAGGGAATAGGCGACTCCATCACTACACAGCGACTGCCAGGAAGAAAAGGACGTCCCTAACGGCTGGTACCCTCTCTACACCAGGGTAGCCGTTACAGGTAGCAATTAGAACATGGAACACTATGTAACCACACGAAACCGCAAAGTAATTGAATGCTCCTAGGTGGCCGCCATTTTGTGCATATGAACGCACATGGTGAGAACAATGGATGGTGGCCATCTTAAACTCCCGAACGCGGCCAGCGGAACTTGGTCGTGAAGTGCCTGGAACAGTTTTCGGCATAGCACTCTCACGAACCCGATCCCCATGGAAGTCCCGTCTGACCTATTTCCATTTACAGTATACGAACGGCGTTCGGGAGTTTCAAACAACCGAACGAGGGGAGCATTCTCCACGAACCATCTGCATGCCAGCTATGGTAGTTTTCGTGCAATTGTATCTGAATGGAAACCGGCTCTTACTACCAATTACGTGGATCTCTGAATCGGATACAACAGCATGGCGAGCCGGTCAAACTTCCACACAATGCGACACGAAAACTACCGAATGGATTTTCGTGAAATTTGGATATGTTACTCGCAGTATCCTTAGCTATCCAGGGATTTTGCAATGTTATGAATAAAGTATAATTTAAAAAAATTGGAAAAATAGTAATTTTTCTGGCCAGCAGATAATTGAGTTGAGAATGTTACTGAAACTCAATTAACTAGCCTGGCCCAGAGGAGGAGCTTGTACTGTATACATTGAATGCCTGTTGCTTCCAGTAAATCAGTCTTGTCTTGATACAGCTTTAAGCTTTGGCTCATGTGTGGATTATTTGGCAATACCAGCGTTATTTTACATTGTGGATTATTGGCATTATTCTGTTATTGGGAAAAAGGGAATATTTGACGGGACTACTGATTACTACCGTCACACTAATAATCTCCTAATAAACAACTCATCTCTACGGTATACTATGTAGCAATAACATCTTATTCCATTGCTATAGGAGTCAATTCAACATACTAAGGCTTAACTATGAAGCTCTAGACAACTCTAGCCCCTGTCAAATTTCATTGATCCATAGGTATCCGTAGGGCTTCTTTGTTGCTCCATTCTGCCGGTGACCTTCTCCTGTCTGCTGCTCACACCCTTACCTTTTGCAGGACTTCTCATGGATAGCTCACTTTCTTTGGACCAGCCTACCTACCCCCATCAGACTCTCCTCTAGTTTTCAATCTTAAGAAATTCCTAAAAACTCAGCTCTTCGGGAAGACCTAGGGCTTCCCAGAGTAACTTCTACTTCACAAACCAGTCACTTGCTCTTTTATAAAGGTCCACTCTCCACTCTTACCTCCTATTCTGCTCCTTTCCCACCTTGCTTAGTTATGACCTTCGATGCCCTTCTTGTTGTGATTTTATACTCCAGCTCCTCAATGCGTTTCACACTCTTTTAGCACTTCCTCAGGAGTGGTTCTGTTCTAGGTCTTCGTCGTTTAAATATGCCTTTTCCTGAGTCCTTATGTGCCTGCGTATGCGCAAAAGGACTTTCAACAACGTCACGTTTTGTGACGCCTGAAATGTCGAAGAAACATGTGCAAAGCCAGCATGGAAAGCACCATAAATTTATTGATACTGTGCGCTTTGGATTTCCGAACGGCCACAGTATAATCATTTTGAAATTCTACATTTGCACACTCGATGAAAAATAGATTTGATAAAAATTGCATTCATTAAAAAATATATTCGATAAAAATACAAACAAAATAATACATGCACACAGAGTGCTGAATACACACACACACAGCAAGCAGCCTCCCCTCATTCCTCACATACTGGGGGCTTTGAAAGCAGACCATTTCACCTGGGGCTGTCCTGGCCAGTGTCGAAAGATCAGCTTTGCAACTGTGGAGGTGGTCCTGGACCCCTGCTGCTGTGGGTGCCACAACTTAAAGAATGCCCTAGACCACAGCCTAGTTGGTCTGACAGGAGTTGCGGCTGCTACCAAATTCGGTGGGGGACGTGCAAGGAGTAAGCACCCCTGTAGTGACATCAAAGGATGTTGCTTTTTGTTATGTGTAAAAAGAAAAAAGGAGACGGAAGCCGATGGTCTGGCAGCCAGGATGGTGTTTGAATTGGGGATTAAAGGGGAGCGCTATATAAATATATAATAATAATTAAAACATGCCAACGACAACAATATTAACAGCTTAACGATCAAAGCTTGTTCTCATTAGGTACACCAACACATTTTATACAATTATGGATCTTTTTTTGATTCCCTACATACACATGATACAACATTTCAATATATTAATATCTACATAACTAGTGCAACTAAAGAAAAATAACTATTGGTCCTGACTGTTAGATAACTCATAGCCTGGGATTTCAGTTCTTTGTTTAGTACATTTTTGGACGAATGTTGCAAGAAGTGAATAATGGATTGAAAACGAAATCTTTGCAGAATTTGCCAAGACCATTCTTTTAATAGCAGTTGCAATATACTAAATGTATACACTGAAATATACATTTGTTGAAAGTTGATGCATTAAGGTATTTTGCCACAAAAATATCTAACCTTTTCTTCATTTAACAATTTTATGACCAACCTCCATCAAATCTACTTCCAGGTACATTCAGATCATCCCTTTCGTGTTGCAAGCGTGTTTTGGCACGGCCCTCTTCACCTACCATTTCAGTATGTCATACGTCTATTGTTAGAATGCAATGTTGGTCTTGTTTACCTACTGTACAGTGCTGCAGAATATATTGGCGCTATATAAATAATCGTATTGTTAAATGATCCTAATCTCATTAGAGCCAATAATCCGTGATTGAATGATTTAGAACCAGGAGGATAGGTTTAGACAAAGCAATCAAGTATTTTGTTTCATAAAGGGACACTCCAGGCACCCTTAACCCTGCGAGTGTAATTATTGCAGTTTTTATAAACTGCAATAATTACTTTGTTACGGTACCTCCAGTAATAAATGTACAAACCGCCGTTTAGTGAATGCTCCCCGTTCGCAATAATGTGGTCTGGTAGCGTGTACAGTATAAATGAATAAAAAGAAAAAGAAAAAAACAAATACAAACACAAGAAATACAAATGCACCTAACCAACTCAATGGTAGGAATATGCAAAGGTACTTAACTTTGTATAAGATGAATACAGCTTCCCAAGAGGTTTCCCCCAAACAAACCTCAAATACAGATATGTGAATGGACAAAATAGGGATACAGCTGAATGACTAAAAAACATAAGAATACATAGCACATAGTGAAGTACCGTCACAATAATAAAATGTAAACCTCAATGATTGCACTCACAAAATAATAATGAATAATGCGCCTTTAAGCCCTCAAAGGGCTGCAATAGTATTCACCCTCCACGGATAGGTTGCTCTGTCTTCCAAGAAGTGGGAGTATGCCAGTGTAGTATAAAAAAATCCTTTTATTGTTAAAGGCACTAATAGGCCTATATCAAAAATCAATAATTAAAATATACAAATAGTACTGCATCTAACGCGTTTCATCCATACAAATTGGACTTCATCAGAGAAAATTTTGCAGTATACACAATATATAAAATACAAAGCATGCATAATCCCACCCCCAACAGAGTCCCTTAAATATAACCAGTCCGTTTGTTGATTGGAGGATTCCTTCATAGACAACACCTCTTCAATAAATTGAATTTTTTCCAGGTGATCTCCACCTTCAAATTCGCGGCTAAAAACAGCTGATAATCCGTCCGGTAATGTTATGCGTTCCAAATCACAACTTCCGGTTGCGTTCCACATATGCATTTCCGGTAGCGGGTAACAACGCACGTCACAGCCGCTGACGTTGCGTTCCAAGACCGGACCCATGCGTTCCAAACGACCAGCCCTTCAAGTTGCTAAGAAGACTAAAAAGAGCAGTCTTAGAATAATCCCAAACATTGATATAACCATTCTCATAATACAAATTAGATCATTATCAAATTTGAAAAAAGGACTTCAATCCTCTGCCACAAAACGGAATATTAAATAAGAATAATAATAAATAAATCTATTTACATATATAAAAATATGTATATAACTATATAATATATAATAAAAAATAAAAATAAATAAAAATAAATATAAATAATAATAAAAATGAAAAAAAATAAAATAAAAATAATAATAAAATAAAAATAATAAAAGTCTAATTAAAATAGAATAAAAATAAAAATAAATATAAAAATGAAAATAAGAAATAAAAATAATAATAAATATAAAATTGAAAATAAAAACAATAAGAATGAAAATGAAAATGAAAATATTTTTCATTTTTATTCTTATTGTTATTTTTATTTTCAATTTTATATTTATTATTTTTATTTCTTATTTTCATTTTTATATTTATTTTTATTCTATTTTAATTAGACTTTTATTATTTTTATTATTATTTTTATTTTAATTTTATTTTTTTTCATTTTTATTATTATATTTATTTTTATTTATATTTATTTTTATTTTTTATTATATATTATATAGTTATATATATACACATATTTTTATATATGTAAATAGATTTATTTATTATTATTCTTATTTAATATTCCGTTTTGTGGCAGAGGATTGAAGTCCTTTTTTCAAATTTGATGATGATCTAATTTGTATTATGAGAATGGTTATATCAATGTTTGGGATTATTCTAAGACTGCTCTTTTTAGTCTTCTTAGCAACTTGAAGGGCTGGTCGTTTGGAACGCATGGGTCCGGTCTTGGAACGCAACGTCAGCGGCTGTGACGTGCGTTGTTACCCGCTACCGGAAATGCATATGTGGAATGCAACCGGAAGTTGTGATTTGGAACGCATAACATTACCGGACGGATTATCAGCTGTTTTTAGCCGCGAATTTGAAGGTGGAGATCACCTGGAAAAAATTCCATTTATTGAAGAGGTGTTGTCTATGAAGGAATCCTCCAATCAACAAACGGACTGGTTATATTTAAGGGACTCTGTTGGGGGTGGGATTATGCATGCTTTGTATTTTATATATTGTGTATACTGCAAAATTTTCTCTGATGAAGTCCAATTTGTATGGACGAAACGCGTTAGATGCAGTACTATTTGTATATTTTAATGATTGATTTTTGATATAGGCTGATTAGTGCCTTTAACAATAAAAGGATTTTTTTATACTACACTGGCATACTCCCACTTCTTGGAAGACAGAGCAACCTATCCGTGGAGGGTGAATACTATTGCAGCCCTTTGAGGGCTTAAAGGCGCATTATTCATCATTATTTTGTGAGTGCAATCATTGAGGTTTACATTTTATTATTGTGACGGTACTTCACTATGTGCTATGTATTCTTATGTTTTTTAGTCATTCAGCTGTATCCTTATTTTGTCCATTCACACAGCGTGTACAGTATAACCATGCGAACCGCCAGCTAGGGAAAACTCCCGAACGGTACCTGTACGGCTCTTTCCCTTCACGAACTCCAAATCCACAAACTGCCAATATTAGCCGAACGCCAATATCTTCCAAGCGGCAAATAATTCCAATAAGCAGACTCTAGGCGCCGGTAATAAAATCCCCCCAATAACGAGACCAAGCTCCGCTTTGAGGGTAAAACACGAACTGATTTACTGTGGGCTACCTGCCCGGTATTTATGCAGGTCTCCCACTTGGTGGACACTCCCCAAATGGGAGACTGGAATAACAGAAGGACATGGGGACGTTTCAGACATACATCCCCACAATATTCCCAGCATGCATCACAGTTCCCTCCCCTCTGCTCGGGAGATAATTGGAAAGTAATTCAATTATCTCCCCGAGCAGAGGCAAATCGCCATTTTAACTCAAAGTTATAAAACACATTAAAATATATAACTTTCTAATTGCCGAACATATTGTATTCGTGTAACACATCCCCAGATAGCCTGGATCTGAGTGCATATTATTGGCGAATAGCGCTCAGATCCCATTCGCATAGTTCAATCGCCATGGATCCAAAGTCTATTACAGTTCTTCGGTATGCAATTGACTCCATGGGAAGGCTATCTGGGTTAAGTCCATTCGTGTTGTTGAATCTCCCGAACGGCCGGCATTTGTATGCTTTTGTCGATTGAGAAGGGGAGGTCGACGGCTTCAGCGGTGTTCGGTTGAAAAAGTGTCCGTTTTCAGTTCCATGAAATAACTGTCGAACATCGCTGGTCTTTCGCATGGTTTAATATGGCCGTCGCCTCGTGGTCGACATACGAACGACGACCACCCGGTATTCGGTTTTAATTGAGAAGTGTCTGTGGTTAACCGCAACGTTCTAATTGGGATCAATAGGTTAACCAGCAGCACACTTCTCTTCTGGGTGGCCGTCCGTTCGGTAGTTCCGTTCGACAAAAAAAAGACATTCCCTTAAACAAAGCATACGAATGGGGAATTCATGCAAATGTCAAAACAGACGAACACAGTACTTTTAGTCCATACAGATGGGTCTGTCACAACCTTGCAGGGTTAAGTCCTCCTCTCCTCTATCAGACAGCCACTAGAGGGACTTCCGGCTTCTTAGAATATGTCTTCGACGCTGGAGGTCCGCTATGCATGAGGACCTACAGTGTCGCCGGACCCCCATAGGAAAGCATTAAATAATGCTTTCCTATGGGGAGGTCTAATGCATGGCTTACGCGGCAATTAGGTCTCCCCCTCCAGCTGACGGCGTGGGCAAAGCCTGACCCAGTGCCGAAGGACATCGGCGCTGGATTTAGGTAAGTTACTGAAGGGGTTTTAACCTGTTCAGCAACAAGGATGGGGGTTGGAATGGAGGGAGGGTGACACTACAGGATCCTGCAGTGCCAGGAAAACAAGTTTGTTTTCCTGCCACGGGAGAGTCCCTTTAAAGCGGTACTGTCATGCCGAACTTACCTTTCCTCAATCGATTTCTCTTCTCTCCCTCTGTCAGGGTCTGTTCTTCATTTCTTCCTGTCTACTCTAGTTTTCTTTAAAACATAAGACAAAGTAACTACCCCTGACCAGCTATGACCAGCAGAGGAGCAAAGTGTGCTTCATTTCCGTTGGTCAGAGCAATTTTTGCTCCCGAACGTCCTGTCAGCGGAACTACCGAATTTCGTCCTAACAGAATGAGATCGGTTTCTCCAGAGCTTTGTTCGGAATGAATAAATGAATGAAACTCCGATCTTATTTGTGCTGCGGCTGGTGGGGGCCCTAAATAAAAATAAGGGGGGCCCAGATGAAAATTGGGGGGGTACCTATTGTCCTCCCTCCCCCGCCCCCCCAGTCATGAGCAGCAGGTGTGGGCCCTTAATGAAAAGGGGAGGTGTAACGGACCGTTTTGCACATAAGGGGTAAAAACCGTTTAGGTGATCGGCCCCTTTTCCAGAGATGCAGGCACAGCTACTGCAGAACACCAAACACACGAACCGCCAATAAGTGAATGCTCCGAACGACATCCAATATAGCATCCAATATAGCACTCCAAACACCCGAACAGGAACCATATGAATTGCTGCTAGCAGACGAATAGGAAAAGCATCCAAGCGGCTTACACTCCTAGCAATCAGTCTCTATCAGCATTCAGTAAATCCCCCCAAAGACGAGACAAGGCTCCGTGTTGAGGGTCAAGCAGTGGTCTGTTTAATGAGGGCTACCTGCCCAGTATTTATGCAGGTCTCCCACCTGGTGGACATTCCCCTAGGGGACCAAATGGGAGACTGTGACAAGGGACAGACAAGCAGACAAATAGGACACACAGTCACAATATATTCCCACAATGCATCCTGGATTCCTCCCCTCTGCCCTGGGAGATAATTGAGAAGTAATTCAATTATCTCCCAAGACAAAGGCAAATCGCCATTATGCACATGGGGATACTAAAACAAGCATTACTGTTAAGATACACTAGGTAAGACACATTACATTAAAACTATACATTTAACATATCCCCAGATAGCTCAGGTCTGAGCGCACATTATTAAGCGAATGGCGCTCAGACCACACGAATACAGTTTAATCGCCATGGAGCCAGAGTCTTTAATTCCACGAACAGGCTCCATGGCAGGCTATCTGGGTACTTGCACACCAAATACAATTGCAGCACTAAAAGTCCCGAATGCTCCGTTCGGTTCCCGAACGGGTTTGCAGACTTCCAGCCTCAGCGGGGCTTGTAAGACAAAAATGTCCGCTTTTGGTGTCCTGCCGCTGGGTAGAACAAGCGCTGGCTGCCCGGGGAGCTTCCATAACACCGCCATCGTGTGGCGGCTAGGTGTAACCGCGACCACCCAGTAATTGTCAATTAAGCTGCGGTTAACCGCAGCTTCAGGGAGGTTAATTGCCGGCACACTCCAGCTCCCAGGTGGTCTATTCATTCGTGCGGTTGTTCGGTAGATTGAATCTACCGAACAACCGGCAGAAAAGCACGAATACAGCTTTTCTGCAGGTGAAACAAAGTCTTTTAACATGGGGGCCATAGTCCAAAGGCAGCAGGCGAGCAACCAGGCTTCTCCAATGCAATGTGGCGAGATTGGTCTCGTCACATCTCTCCCCTTTTCCAAACAGACTAACAGGGTATCTGACCTCCTGCCGGTCAGTGCCCTTGTTAGTCCAGCAGCCCACCCACAAAACACAATCAACAGCACAGCCCACCCACACTAAATGGTTACTACACCTGGGTAAAGGAGAAGCTTGTCCATGTCCAGGTGTCTCACCACAGCTGTGCTGGGTACGGGTATGCTGACTTGGTGGGTTGCTGCGTGGGCAGAGACCAGCGGTACTCTGCCCTGTTGCCAGTGCTACTGGGAGGGTAGCCTGGTTGTTGAAGGGGGAGACCGACTGTCTCCCCTTTAGATACACAGCCCTGCCGCTGGAGACCGACTGTCTCCCCTTTGGTTACACAGCTCTGCTGCTGGAGACTGACTGTCTCCCCTTTGGTTACACATCTCTGCTGCTGGAGACCGACTGTCTCCCCTTTGGCTAAACAGCCCTGTTGCTGGGGGGCAGAACCGACCGTCCCTACCCCCTGTGCTGGACGTGCAGAGACCATCTGCACAGTTGTGGGGCTTACTGTCTCCCCTCCCACTGGAGTGGGAGGAGTTTGCCGTTGCTGCTGGAGAGTGAGCTGCTCTGTGCTTCATCTGTGTGTTCCCAGGACCACACCCGTTTGTGGCTGCTTTTGGAGCTCGATTTCTGGGCTTTGGAATTACTACAGCAAGGGGCTCTGCCTGGGCCTAGGCAAGCATGGCCCTCGGGCCTTCCTCCCCAGCCTGGGGATGGAAGGTCAGGCTGGACGAGCTGCAGGCAGTGCTGGCTTTTGGGGAAGGTAAGGCGGATACCAGGGGCCTGTCTTGGACTGAGCATCAGGCCCTCTCCCGGCAAATACGAAACCAGGTCTCCCTGTTGGAGGAACTGGCGGGGGGGATGTCTAGGAAGCTTACAGCATGGAAAAGGGAAGTGGGGGTCCCCCAGGGAGCTACGGCCCACACCAGGGCCGATATCCAGCTGCTCTCTGGGCTGCTGGCTGAGTGCCGTGAACTTGCCAGCAGTGGCCTCCACTTCCTAGAACAGCCCCCCCCGTCCCTGGAGGTGGGAGAGGGTACCGAGGAGGAGGTAGTCCCTGAGACCCCCCCTGAGGTGGCTAGTGCCAGCAAGGCCCCTCAGGCCTCCCTCACCTATGCTGAGGCTGCAAAGGGTGAGGGGGTTGAGGCTAGGGTCTTTATGGGGCTACCTTCTGACAGGCTCCGGGGTCTGCTTGTGTCCCTGAAGGCCCAGCATGCCGAGGCAGACTCGGGCCTAGCTGGGGTCCAGGCAGAGCTAAGGGAGCAGAGGGAAAAATCAAACAGGACCTCTAATTACAAAAGAGGTCCTTTGAGGGCCGCTATAGCTGAGAAAAAATTAGTGGAGCAGCATCTATCCTACACCCTGCTCCAGACTGAAAAGAAAATAGCAGACATCCAGGCCATCCTGCAACAGAGAGCCAAGGACGCTGCGAGGTCCAGGAGGCAGAGGGCTATGGAGGGCAGGAGGGACATGTCCCCAGGTGAGGAGTCCAGCAAGGACTTGGATTCCAACTCCCATCACTCACCTGGGGAGCCGTCTACCTCTGCCCTTGCTACTCCAGGGGGCACTGCTGAGACGGAGGGGAAGGCCAGAGAGAAGGACAGTGAAGAGGAGTGGGACGGAGAGAAAGGTGAAGAGTGGCAGCTGAAAGTGCAGGACAGAGGTCGAGGGCTGATTAAGGAGTCTCTCCTCAAGTTTGGAAACGAACTTGGGGAGGACTCCGTAAAGGACAAAAAGAAGAAAAAGAAGAAAAAGAAAAACATCGCCCGGCGTCAGCCTGAGACCTCTGTCAGGGGGTCTGGAGATTCCACAGAGGAGGGTGAGTGCTCAAATGCTGAGTATATGTACAATGATGATGTTCAGGCCTTGCAGAAGCCTGGGGCCAGGGATACTAACCCTGCAGGTGGCAACACCTGTATGCCCCAGAAACCTGCACAACCTGCCTCTGTGGAAGTATCTGGGCCCCCCGCCGCCCTCCATGGTGACAGGGAGACCATCCCCGCCGGTACTATGGCGTGTACCGGTGATCCCATGGAGGGGTCCTTCCCTTGCTCCCTTCCCACTCCCTCCCTTACCTGCCTTCCCTCTGACCTTCCTCTCCGTGTGGTTGCGTCCCCTGGAGTGGCTGGTACCTCTGCCTCCTGTCCTCAGGCGGCTGCTGGGCAGGATGGCACTGGATGGAGCAGTCTGGAGCAGGGTGATGGCCCTCCTTTTCCCTCTGCTCCCTTGGAGCAAGCTCGACTGCTCTCCCCTACCAGCAAGTCTCCTCCCCTGTTTGTCCCCCAGTCTGTTTCCCTGGATGTGTCCAAGTTTGTCTTCCAGTCTGTTCCCCCTGCTTCCCTATGTGTTCCCCTTATGTCTGCATGTGTAACCAGTCCCCCTGTTGTTCCTGTTGTTCCTGCCCCGGGTGCCGCTGGCGCTATGGAAGACAGGACTGCAGGGGACTCCCATCATCCTCAGCCAGCAGTCCATACTGAGGAAACCGCCAGTGGAGGTAAGAAAAGTATGACTAACATTGTGTTTGACTCCACTGGTGGTTTAGGGATGGCTGAAGAGGATGGGAGTATGGATGTAACTGTAAATGTAATGATGGGACCTATTGGCCTTAGTAAAAAGGTCCACAGCCAGCCTGTTTGTATTAATGATGTTGCCCCTGCCCCTGGTGTTGTTGCCCCTGCCCCTGGTGTTGTTACCCCTGCCCCTGGTGTTGTTGCCCCTGCCCCCGGTACTATTGCCCCTGGTGTTGTTACCCCTGCCCCTGGTGTTGTTGCCCCTGCCTCTGGTTATGTTGCCCCCGCCCCCGGTACTATTGCCCCTGCCCCTGGTTATGTTGCCCCCGCCTCAGGTTATGTTGCCCCTGCCCCTGGTTCACTGGAGTTAGTTGGTACACAGGTGGCGGGCACGAGCACGGGCACAGGCACCCTGACAAAGGGTGCCGCGGTTATAAATAGTTTAGACGCACAAGCAGGTACACGGGTTCCCCTTAGGCACTCCCAGGTTGTCACCCAGGGTTCTGGTGTGACCGAGGCCTCTGGTTCAGCGAGGGGAGTCCGTCCGAATCATTCCCAGACGGCGGGTCCCGGTGCGCCCAATGCTTGGGCATCTGGGCCACCTCGCCTCTCTGCGGACGGGCCTGCTACGCGTCCTCAGGTTTCCTTTGGGAACAGGAGGAACGTGGTACGGCTCATCTGTGGGGGTGAGACCCAGGTGCCTGACAGACGGTGGCTGGTGACCCGGCTAAAGGATATGGGATTTGCGCCCGTGGACCTGTACGCGCTCATCCATGCCTCGGGCACCCGGGAGTTCGACGTCTCCTTTATGACGTCGCAGCTCCTGGATCGCTTCTGGGCTGGGTGGGAAGCGGCCAGGTCTGCACAGGGTACAAAGTGGGCAGGATTCACCGCTGTGGCCATTTCTCGCCAGGGTCTTAAGAAGGTCACTTTCCTGGTGAGAAATGAATCCATCCCCATAGCAGACATCCTTGTTTGGACTAAGAGGTTTGGGGATGTTAAATCCCCCCCCTGTTAAGATCTTAGATGAGGATGGGATTTGGACAGGCGGATGGACTGTTTCAGTGTTGCTGCGGGAGATTCGAGGTGTCACACAGCATATGCCTAATAGTTTTTTCATCGGGGCTGACCGGGTATCCTGTTTTTACCCTGGTCAGCCCAGGGTATGTCACAAGTGCGGATCGTACAGGCATTACAGCAATGCCTGTACGGTCCTCAAATACACTATGTGCGGCGCTGTGGGGCACCTCCGGGACAGCTGCAGGGAGATCCGGTGTCATCTGTGTTCAGAGATGGGTCACACGTACCGCACCTGCCCCGAAGCCCAGCACAATGTAGAGTCCATCTGGAGTCAGGAGCCGGTGGAGATGGACTCTGCTGGGTTAGGGGTTCAGGTAGCATCGTCATCTACAAGGCCCATCTCTGGCACAAGGGTTTCCCTGCCCCAGCAACAACCCATCCTCCCCTCGGTCTCTGTAACATCTCAGGACCCTGGGAAGGCCACAAGTTCACGTCCCCTCACGAAAAGTGTACGTAGAGAACGCACTACCTCCACAGCCATTATGGCTCCCCCTAGACCCCCTCCCCCTAGGCCCCCCCCTCCTAAATTCTCCACGGTGAAGGTTACCCCCACTGAAAAATCCCCAGATGCACGTCCCTTAGATGCACAGTCCCTAGAGTGGAGCACGGTGAAAGGTAAGAAACCCCCCCCCTCCAAGACCTCGACGCTGCCCTCACCCCGGAAGATCGCCATACCCCCTGCGGCGAAACCCCCGAAAGGGGGAGACGCCACTTATAAGGGTGGTGTGGCACGGGCGTCATCCTCCTCTTCGGGCTTGCAGGAGGCCCCGGTGCCCGTATCTAACAGGTACGAGGCACTGTCCTCCAGCTGGGCCGACTGTGAGTACGAGGAGGAGATGGCGAACCTCCCCGAGGTGGTGGCAGGGGTTGAGGTGGGACAGGAGGTGCTTCTGAGAGACGACGGGCCACTGTATCCCGGAGTCTCAGTGAAGAGGTTCCTCGGTTCCGACACGGAGGAGGAGGGGTACCGCAGAAGGAAGGGAAAGTCTCCTTATACTTAATGCCCTTATGGCGACTTTTCCTGTACTCTCTGTGGCTACGGTGAATGTAAACAGCATTAAGTCCAGCAGGGCCCGCTTTTTGGTTTACGACCACCTCAGCCGGGCTCCGTACAATGTCATCTTGGTACAGGAGACCCGGCTGGAAACCCTCGCGGCCCTGCACGCTGCAAAGCGGGACTGGAGATGGGGGCCCTCCTACTTCTCTCTAGCCACAGAGAGATATGGGGGAATCGCCATCCTATTTAAGGACGTTGATGTTAGCATCAACAGGGTTATTGAGTTGCAAAAAGGACGGTGTGTGGTTTTAGATGTCTCAATGGGCAGGCAACCTTTCAGGATAATTAATATCTATGAGGAAGGAAGCGCCTGTTTATTGAGATAGAGCCTTACCTTTATACATCCCAGCAAATCCTGTTTGGCGGTGACTTTAACACCATAACTAGGCCTCAAGACAGGAGAGACGCCACTCAGAGGCTGGGGTATGACTCCTATTTTTTAAATAAGATGGTTAGTCAGGCTGGATTGGTCGATGTGTACCTTCATCACACTCCCAATCCCACGGGTGGGTACACTTATCACAGAGGTAGCTGTCAGAGTAGGATAGATAGGTTTTTCTTTAAGGAGAATTTCCCGGTGGCGGCACCCGTGCTTACACCGGTGGAGTTCTCCGACCATCACATTTTGTCTTGCGAGTTGAACGTCTATAGTACCCCACCTAAGGGTAGAGGGATCTGGCGGCTAAATTCAGACCTCCTGGTGGAACAGAGGGTTCAGCAAGCCTTCATGGAATTCTTTCACGATCAGATGACATTGGCCGACTTAGGCCAAACGAAGTCTGAGTGGTGGGAGATGGTGAAGGCCAGAACTCAACGGCTGTTTCGCAATCTCGCCCGGAACATGCAGTCCTCCAGGTACAAGATGTATCTGGGCTTGCTTGGGAGGTTAGACATCCTGATCTCGCAGGGAGGTGACCCCGAGGACATTGCGGCAGTTAAAAACCTGATGAGGAGTTATCAGTATGACAGGTACGCCTCCCTTGTAAAAGAGAGGGATCATGGGTCATACCGCTCGCCCGATCCTTATCTTAGCTGCAAGCGGAAGGAAGGTACCAAGTCCATCCCTAGTCTGCGGGGCACCGACGGGACCCTAGAGGAGTCTCCTCGCGGGATTCTGAAGGTGGTCCGCGACTACTATATTGAGCTCCTCGGAAAGGGCAGCCCCCAATGTAGCGAGGAGGGAACCTCCCACGGGAGAAGGGTGGATGACTTCTTGAGCGAGCTCACGCTCCCTGAGCATAGCGACCTCTCTTTTGACGAGTTGGTCAGCGAGATCACCATAGAAGAGGTCACAGAGAGTATCCAACAGCAGAACAAGTGTAAGTCGCCAGGTCCTGATGGTCTGACGGCCGAGTTTTACCAACAGTTCTGCGACCTCTTGGCCCCTCATCTGACCGAGGTGTTTAATGAGAGCTTGGCTCAAGGATTATTGCCACCCTCGATGAGGACTTCTGCCCTGATCTTGCTGTCCAAGCCGAACGTGCTCGACACAGCGGATGTGGGGAACTGGCGCCCCATATCCCTGTTAAATGTCGACAGGAAGGTCCTGGCAAAGATTTTGATGAAACGAGTACAGGGCCTAGCGAGGCGTGTCCTATCCACCTCCCAGTACTGTTCAATCGAGGGCAGAACTGTCTTTGATGCCGTTTTCGAAGTCAGGGAAGCCCTCGAGAAGTGCAGGGACGGAGAAAGGGGGATATACCTTCTGGCACTTGATCAGTCCAAAGCTTTTGATCGAGTAGATCACCGTTATCTGTGGTCAGTCTTGCGGAAGTATGGCTTGCCGGGAAAATTCGTCAATTGGATAATCACCTTGTACAGAGGGGCCGAAAGCTTCGCTCTTGTGAACGGGTGGAGGGGCAGGACGTTTAGGATCCGATCCGGGGTCAGGCAAGGCTGTCCTCTCAGCCCACTCTTGTACGTGTTTGCAGTCGATCCCTTCATCCGAAGGGTCGAGGCAGGCACGTTACAGGGAGTGGCCAGGGCTCCGGAGAGGCCTTTACGGGTTGTTGCCTACGCTGATGACATCTCCATAGTGGTCTCCAATACTCGGGAGGCCACGGAGGTGGATGATTTAATCCTAGCGTATTCTGCCGCTTCAGCCTCTCGTGTCAACAGGGACAAGAGCGTAGTTTTCTGGTGCGGGAAGGAGGGGGACCAGTTCCCTCTTCCAGACGGTTTCCCGAGGGCCCAGCCTGAAATTAAGATCTTGGGGGTGGTGTTCGGACCAGGGGATCTGGCTCTCAGGAACTGGACCGAACGGCTTGCCATAGCTTCTAGCAAGGTGGAGGAGAGCCACAGGTGGAAACTGACGTTCAGAGAACGGGTGAACCTAATCAAAACCTATGTTCTGACCGTATTCGGCTACGTCAGTAACATCTTCCTTTTGCCCAGGTCCCTCCACGCTCGGATGTTTGCGCTGTTCTTCCGCATGTTGTGGGGGAACAGGCTGAACCTCATCAAAAGAGAGGTCACTTACCTGGCCAGAAAGGACGGGGGTCTGGCCATGGTCAACCCCATCGTCTTTTTAACTAACAACTTCCTGAAAAGGAACTTTGGGGCTCTCCTGAAGGATGAGCAGCCTGGCTGGGTATGTATATTCAGGGAGTGGGTCACACCTTTCCTGGTGGACTGGTTTCAGGGTGGGAGGGTGAAGAGCATGAGAGTTCGGCATTCTAGCTATCTTCCGTCTTCGGTCATCGAGGGAGTGGGAATTCTGCGCAGGTGGAACGTCACGGTGGAGGAGGTTCGGGACACTCCCAAGAAGCTTCTCGACGGGAGGGTCCTGGCCACCCACTTTGGCATTCAGCTTGCTTTGAAGGACTGCCCGCCAAGTACTCTCGCCTCGGGGTTGAAAAACATCAACTCCAGGCGCCTTCCGGAGAAATACCGAGACGTGGCGTTTCTCTCCTTCCACGGTAGACTTTACGTTCGAGGGAACTTGAAGTACAGGAACATAACGGATCGTGGTTGTCCTCGGGTGGAATGTTCCGGGGAAGTGGAGTCCATGGACCACTTCCTCCTCGAGTGCCCCTTTAACGTACAGGTCTACAAAGAGGTCTCAGCCGCCTTAGGCATCCCCTGCTTATCCCGCTGGACTTATGCGGAGTGGGCGTACGGGACGTCCAACTCAAGGGGGAGGGCTTTTGATTTGGGCACTCTTTATGTAGTCAGTTCAGTGGTTAAGTATTTCACTTGGATGGCAAGGTGTCAGGTTTCCCTTCAACGTAAAGACCTTTCCTGTCAGGTGGTGGTAGCAGACATTCTGAGGGCGGTTCGTGGGATCTATACCACCGAAAGGGCCTCTATGGATCCCACCATTTGGCAGCGTTTGTGGCGAAATCTCAAGGTCCACCCGCCTTGAACCGCTCCATGGGCGCCCTTGTCTTGGTGAAGGGAATTCCAAATCTGTCTTCACCTTTCCCCCGTAGATTTTGAACTGGTTTTTCTTTTCATGGAAGGCTGCCACCTTTAGCAGACGAGTACCTTCCTCTGCGTCTAGGTAGTGCAGTGTAGTTAGGTTATGGTTATGGTTATGCACAGGTTATTTTTGGTATTGTTTGGGTTAGGGTGGGTTTCTGGTGTATGGACAAATTGAAAAATTTACTTTGGGTGGGGAAAAAAAAAAACAAAAAAAAAACACTGGGTTTCTTTATGGACGGAGGGATGGACTCCTTGAGGGTGGTGTACAAACTGGATTTCATGTGGGTGGTGGGTCTATGGACAAAATTTTGATTTCATGTGGGTGGTGGGTTTGGATGTGATGAACTGAGAAAAGGACTCCATTTGGGTGGTGGGTTTGGGGGATGGACGGAGGGATAGACTCCATGAGGGTGGTGGGTTTTATGAATTGAAAATGGACTCCATTTGGGTGGTGGGTTTGGGTTTAAAGTTTGGGTTTAAAGTGTAGGTGGTGGGTTGGTGTTGATGGACGGAGGGATGGACTCCATGTGGTTGGTGGGTTTTATGAACTGAGAAAAGGACTCCATGTGGGTAATGGGTTTGTTTATGTTTATGTGTGTGTGTTTTATTTCACGCTTGGTTTATGTTTGTGTTTAGCTGGCTGTGGACTCGAGGTCAATTGGGTCCCCCCTTGTCCCCCCCTTGTTATGTAAGAGCTCCTTCAGGAGCATTTCAGCCTTTTTTCTCCCTCCCCAAGGCTCCATGAAGTAATGGAGCCCCCCGCCTTTTAATTTATCCCCTTATGATTTAGTTCCCCCCCCTTTTCTGTTAATCCCTCTCCCTGTTATTCCCAGTTATTTAATTTGGTATAAGTTTACTCCCCTATTAGTGCCCCTTCCTGAGTTTTTGTTTCGGTATTTATGTTTAATTTTGGGGTATTTATGTTTCATTTGGTATTATGTTTGAATTGGGCATTATTTCAGTTGATTGTTTATTATTGTTATTTTGTTATTTATTTTGTTATTCTGTTTAATTTTGGAAGCATTTTACAAAACTAAATAAAATAAAATACTGTCTCCCCTGGGTACATTAAGCTGCTGCTGGGGAGAGGGGGTAACAAGCTCCTCTCCCATATATACTTCCAGCCGCGGGGGAGGGAGACCGACTGTCTCTGCTCCCAATACAGAGTCCTGCTGCTGGGGAAAGGAGACTGGGCTCTCTATTCCCTGTAGGACACTCTGCCGTTGGGGAATGGAGACTGGGCTTCCAATTCCCTGTTTTATCTCCCGCTGGGGAATGGAGACGGGGCTCCTAATTCCCAATAATCTGTGCTGCCGCTGGGGAATGGAGACTGGGCTCCCAATTCCCAAAACATCAAACTGCCGCTGGGGACCTGAGCCGACTGCCCAGCATCCCTGTAGCTCACCCTGCCACTGGGGAGGGAGGACGCTTCTCTCCTCTCCCTGCAAGGAACACTGCCGCTGGGGGACAGGACCACTTGTCTCTGCCCCCTGTAACTCAGCCTGCCGCTGGTGAATGGAGCTCGGGCTCCCAATTCCCTGCAATTCACTCTGCTGCAGGGGGACAGAAGCAACTATCTCTGTCCCCTGTAAATCATCCTGCCGCTGGGGAATGGAGCTTGGGCTCCCGATTCCCTGCAATATCTCCCGCTGGGGAATGGAGCTCGGGCTCGCAATTCCCTGCAATACCGGTGGAGAGACCTCGGTCCCATCTCCACCCGCCACCTGGGGTTCTTCCCAATAATCCTCCACAATATCTACCCAGCTGAATGGGTCTGGATCTTGGTCTCCGCTTCCCTGCTGAGCCTTCTCACTGGAGTGGAACAGATCTTGGTAGCCCTGCTCCAGCTCCATCTCTCGGGTCACCAGTTGGACCAGGTCTTGCTCAATTTCTTGAGTGTCGTCCCAGTCATACCTGCTCTCCCTCCACTCCAAGAGATCACTGAACCGGGCTTGTGTAGGGCTCCCAAACTCAGGCTCTGCAAAAGACTCCCATAACAAGCCAGGACCATCAAACGCCTCTCCCTCTGGCTTGTCATGCTCGGCTGTCCAGGGCTGGTACTGTGCCCCATACCACCAGAGCCCCTGGTAGGCATCTTCCAGCCAAATCTCCTGCCATACTCGGAGTTCCAATTCCTTCACCCATTCATCCAGGGGCTGCTCTCCCAGAAAGGGCATTCGCAGGGCTACTCGCTTCTGCAGTCGCTGGTCTTCCTTGGGGAGTCTCTCGCCCCGCTGGTACTCCACAATACCCAGTGCCTGGTACCAGATGCCTTTGCGCAGCGCATCTCGGTCATCCAGGGCGCCCTCGTCATACTCCACTGCTGGTTCCATCTCGGTGCTGTCAGGGTCGCTGTACTGGGACATGCTTTGCCCTCAAATTTTAAAAATCCACGGAATGGTGTTGCCTGTAGCTGTCCTGTAGTCTGTGGGAACGATCACGCCGCTTGCCACCAATTGTAACGGACCGTTTTGCACATAAGGGGTAAAAACCGTTTAGGCGATCGGCCCCCTTTCCAGAGATGCAGGCACAGCTACTGCAGAACACCAGAGTCTTTAATTCCACGAACAGGCTCCATGGCAGGCTATCTGGGTACTTGCACAGCGAATACAATTGCAGCACTAAAATTCCCGAATGCTCCCTTGTTCGGTTCCCGAACGGGTTTGCAGACTTCCAGCCTCAGCGGGGCTTGTAAGACAAAAGTGTATGCTTTTAGTGTCCTGCAGCTGGGTAGAACAAGCGCTGGCTACCCGGGGAGCTTCCATAACACCGCCATCATGTGGCGGCTAGGTGTAACCGCGACCACCCAGTAATTGTCAATTAAGCTGCGGTTAACCGCAGCTTCAGGGAGGTTAATTGCCGGCACACTCCAGCTCCCAGGTGGTCTATTCATTCGTGCGGTTGTTCGGTAGATTAAATCTACCGAACAACCGGCAGAAAAGCACGAATACAGCTTTTCTGCAGGCGAAACAAAGTCTTTTAACATGGGGGCCATAGTCCAAAGGCAGCAGGCGAGCAACCAGACCTCTCCAATGCAATGTGGCAAGATTGGTCTCGTCACAGGAGGGACCTATTGTCCTCCCCTTTGGCCCCCACCCATGAGCGAAATTAAAATGTCAACCCCCCCCCAGGTGACTAGGGGTCCCCAAGGGTCCCCAAGTCACGCCCCACCAAAAACAAAAAAATAATAATCCCCTACCTACCCCCCTCACCCTAAAAATAATGAGAAAGGAACAATAAAACTAAATCCCTGTAAATAAAAAATGTTACCATTTGATGTCTTCTTTTTTCTAAAATCTTCTTTTTTCAGTCCCAAAAAAGGCCAAATAAAAGTCCATAATACCCGTCGGACTTTGAAAATAAAATAAAAAATCCGAGCACAAAAAAAAGAAATATGACGAAAAAAAAAACCTGACGCTAAAAAATAATCCATCTTTACCCCTGGAAGGTACCGCGCAGACTGAGCTCTACAGGGTGTGGAAATGCTTATTAATCCTTCCCATGTCCTGCAATTAGGCTCAGAGCGTTCTGATTGGTTGGTTTAAGCCAACCAATCAGCGTGCTCTGACAGGTAAATGAAGAGACTGACAGGTAAGTCTCTAAATTTACCTGTCACAGCACTACAGCACTCTGATTGGTTGGCTTAAAATCCAACCAATCAGTGCTCTGTTTCATTTTACACAGTGTGGCAAAGTTCTTTGTAATTTTCCCATACTGTGTAATTTGACTCATAATACTGTGATTGGTTGCTATCAAACAAAATTTATTTTTTGGTTGGGGGATCCCTAGTCACCTGGGGGGGTGAACATTTTCATTTAGGGCCCCTACCCGCTCAGGGGTTGGGGCCGGGGGGAGGGAGGACAATAGGTCCTCGCCCCATTTTCATTTAGGGCTCAGGAGTGGGGGCCGGGGAGAGGACTGTGGCGGAACCAGCCTCCTGCCCTGCGACTATGGCCCTGAGATGTATTGCCCTTCTAGGAACTGATTTGGGCATAATAGATTTTTATTATGCTGCTGGCTCTTTAAGAACCATCTGGGGACATACTGTGGAGTTACTGGGTGGCTACCATTTCATGTATCAGAGGCACATGGTGAGAACAATTGATGAAGCACATGGTGAGAACAATGGATGGCGGCCATTTTAACTCACAGACACTGTTTGGACTTTTCTACACTGTGCCATCTCGCCGGTATTTGGTACACAAAGACATTGTGCAGTAGTTTTAAACTATACAACAGGGGACACATTATACAGTAATTATTTTTCATATAGCCTGTATATGTTCTGCGGAATCTGCATTAAACTGTATCTTCCAAACTACTGAACGGATCTGGGTGAATTTTGGATATGTGGTTCACCCAGATCCCCCGGTTCCGAGGATATACTTTTATGGGGTTATTGCATGTTTTGGGGTCCCTGTGATATGTTTTATAATACTGTATTTCTCTGCCTGTGATAATTAGATTAACCATTGTGTTCAGTAATCATATCACAGGCAGAGGGAAGGATTTTGTGTGGGAGTGTTAAAATGGCCGCCAGTTTTTCCATCAGCATACTCCAAATACAAACATATGTCAAAATCATACATATTGGTCCCATAGTCTTTCATTATACAAATGGGCTCCATGCAATACCGGTAACACTGCTCACATAGGGAAAGTACAGAAAGACCCAGCTTTTGGGTCTTTGCAGGGGAAAATCCATCCTTTCAACACAGGGCCATAGTCACAGGGCAGGAGGCCGGCAATCAGTCTTCTCCAATGCCCAGTGGCGAGGCTGGTTCCGCCACAACTATGTTTGTGGATTGTGAACAAAACAGGCTGTATGTGCCAGTACGGTCAGTTCTGCTTGACATCAAAACGAAGTGTCGTCTTGTTATTGGGGGAATTGGATTGTATGCTGATTGCCAGGAGTGTAAGCTCCTGGCAATCAGCTTACAGCATTCATATCCTTGAGAGCATTCGTATGCTTCTCCGGTTCTGTGGTTGTGGTGTCTGCTGCAGTGCTTGGAGTCCTCAGGAAGCGCTAGGAGCATCCTTCAACGGAGGTACCCAGTCGGGGTGCCAGGTGATCCATTACAAGGACAATATGTCTCCCCCCTATTGTTATTTAGGGCTGCCACCTGCCGTTCATGGGTGGGGGCAGGGGGGGCAATAGGTCCCCCATTCAGTTTGAGTCCCCACTTGCGTGGCATTGGTGGGGGCCCAAGAAGGGGGATACTAGGTGTTGAGACACCTCCAGTGTCTTTAGGCAAAACCGCCGTTTAGTAGACCTTCCCCATCTGCAATATCAGAAACTCCGTTCGCCTAACCTGTAGTGCACGAACCAAATGCAGGGGAAGCAGCAATCTCCCGACCGGGATCCCTGAACGGCTCCAAACTCCCGAACGGCAATACACGAACTGCTGCTAGCCGCCGAACAATAACATCCACCAAGCGGCTTTCGTTTCCATCCAGCAGTCTCTAAACGCAAATAATAAATCCTCCCAATAACGAGACAGAAGCTCCGCATTGAGGGTCAAACAGGATCTGGCTTTACTGTGGGCTACCTGCCCGTATTTATGCAGATCTCCCACTTGGTGGACACTCCCCTAGGGGACCAAATGGGAGACTTAAATGACAGACAGATATTGCAGGGGACATTGCAGACACACAGTCACAGATTTTACCCACAGTGCATTATGATTCCCTCCCCTCGGCCCTGGAGATAATTACCAAGTAACTCAATTATCTCCAGGACAAAGCCAGTCGCCATTTTAAACATAAAACCCAAAAAGACATAAAAATACATAATTTTACAATAACCGAACATTCTGCATTCGTGTCACATATCCTCAGATAGCCTGGATCTGAGTGCATATTATTAGCGAATAGCGCTCAGATCCCATACACATAGTTCAATCGCCATGGAGTCAAAGTTCTTTCGGTATACGAATGACTCCATGGGAAGGCTATCTGGGTTAAGTCCTTTCGTATGCTTCCCAAACTCCCGAACGGCCGGTATTCGTATGCTTTCGTGGAGGCAGCCAGGCGTTCCGTTGTTTCAGCGGTGTTCGGCAGAAAAAGTGTCCGTTTTTAGTTCCATGAAAATAGAGCCGAACACCGCTGGCTTTCGCGTGGTTTTAAAATGTCCGCTGCCTCGTGGTCGACATACGAACGACGACCACCCTGAATTTGTGTAATTGAGAAGTGTCTGCGGTTAACCACAACGTTCTAATTGGGATCAATAGGTTAACCAGCAGCACACTTCTCTCCTGGGTGGCCGTCCGTTCGGCTAGTTTGTTCAGGAAAAAAGTCATTCGAATGGCTGGGCTATAGAAAGCAGCCATTCATACGAACAGGATAAAACAGACGAATACACCTGAAACAAGCAGACAGATGGTTCTGTCACACTCGGGTTTTGTTTTTTAACAGTGAGCACTGTTTAATAGACATGCCCCTACTTGCGGTATAGTGAGTAGGGGCAGAATTTACTAATACTAAGTGTGATGAAAGCAATTTCACCACTGGTTTTTGGAGTGGCCTGTTTGCCAGCCTCCTATCCTGTGACTATGGCCCCTGTGAAAAACATGGCTAAAATACTTTAAACAGGCTCTGTTCATGTGAGTTATGTACTTTTGTACTCCAGACAGAGAGACAGACCGTTAGCCCTGATTCTGTGGAACTGTTTTGGGCATGGGGCCATGCTTGCGGATTGATTGGTTTTATTTCAAAACCCTGTGGGCAGTACTATGTTTGTGGATTGTGAATAAAATAGGCTGTATGTGCCAGTACAGTCAGTTCTGCTTGACCTCAAAACCAAGTGTCGTCTCGTTATTGGGGGAATTGGATTGTATGCTGATTGCCAGGAGTGTAAGCTGATTGTATGCTTTTCCTGTTCAGCTGCTTACAGCATTCATATGCTTGAGAGCATTCGTATGCTTCTCCGGTTCGGTGGTTGTGGTGTCTGCTGCAGTGCTTGGAGTCCTCAGGAAGCGCTAGGAGCATCCTTCAACGGAGGTACCCAGTGGGGGTGCCAGGTGATCCGTTACAAGGACAATATGTCTCCCCCCTATTGTTATTTAGGGCTGCCACCCGCACTGGTTTTTGGAGTGGCCTCTGTTCATGTGAGTTATGTACTTTTGTACTCCAGACAGAGAGACAGACCGTTAGCCCTGATTCTATGGAACTGTTTTAGGCATGGGGCCATGCTTGCGGTCGGTCGAAACTATGACTTCCAGAAAATTCCTGTTCACCCAGATCAGGGCTATCAGGGGATGTGACTTTTATGGGGATATGGGGTGTTTTCCAGACTTTGTAAAAATCTATGTTTTTTCTGCTTAGAGTTAATTGAGTTAGGCCATTGTCTTCGTTAATTGTATCACAGGCAGAGGGGAGGGATTTTGTACACTGTATGGGAGTGTCTGAATGTAAACCTTTGTTTTTATTGGCTTGTATGTTTTGTATTCGGTGCCCAACTAGGTCCACCTGGGCGTCACCTTTGCTGTAAAACTTGTATAAAAGACCAGTGTGTGCCATTAAACTTTCTGTTCCTGATTTACCCTCAATCTAGAGTCTTGTCTCTTATTGGGGAAACTGCTACAAGGGATTGCTATGCTCTTCATACTCTCTTGAATAATTACTAGCTCTTGTAAGAGCTGTTCCTGCTTCACTCACTGGAACCTGGAGCCTTGTTGTAGGTCCAGGGTGGGTAGGAGGCGGCGAAACCCCAACTAAGCTGCGGCGGTTCGTGGGGTCTGCGGTGCTTATGGTGTCTGGAGAAGTGCTTGGAGCCCTCGGTAAACACTAGGAGCATCCATCGGCGGAGGTACCCAACCAGGGTACAGGAAGCTCCGTTACACTAAGTAATCTTGACTTAGTATTAGTAAATTTGACTGAAAGACCAATTTAGGTCTTTCAACCTTTTGGTAGATAGCTCCCTAATTCCCACAGTATTAGGGAGCTATCTACTATGTAGCTGCAAGATGCAGCCTCAGCACGAATAGGATCAGAGTTTCATTCATATGAATGAAATTCCGATACGAACAAAGTCCCGAAATGCGTCCTAACATAAATGAACAAACAGTTCTCATTCTGTTAGGACGAAATTCAGTAGTTTCGCTGGCGTTCTGTCTAAGTGACAGGACGTTCGGGAATACTGACAGGAAGCATCGCGAGATCACGGATCAAAGGTGAGAATTGTGGGGAAATTGCTCTGACTGCCGGATATGAAGCACACTTTGCTCCTCCGCTGGTCATAGCTGGTCAGGTGTAGGAAACCTCCATAAGACAAATAGTCCCTACTTTGTCTTATGTTTTAAAGAAAACTAGAGCAGACAGGAAGAAATGAAGAACAGATCCTGACAGAGGGAGAGAAGAGGAATCGATTGGGGAAAGGTAAGTTCGTGCCGCTTTAACTCCCCCCAAACTCCCAATAATGTGTGTACAGGAAGCATCCTTTCCTCAAACCATTTTAATAACTTGAGAATGAAAGAAATGAATATTGGATTCTAGGCTTTAAATCTTTTACTATGTAAATCATTTGAGATTGTTCCACTGCCTGGTAAACATGGAGCATTATCAGTGTGGCCTTGTCATTAAGTAAATGGAAAATAAATGGATACATTACATAGAAAAGAAAGATATTAAGCCAAATTCTGACCATCATTTATTTGTATACAACTTGGTAGTGAATAGTGTTCATGGATAAAGGATACATGTTTCTCAGTTCACAACAACAACTTGTGGTGCCATACATCTTCAGAAAGTAAATACAGTCATGTAAAGAGCTGTATCCATACATAACAAGGTTTCACACTGCTGTGCAAATCGTAAAGACAACTCATTTGCATACTATCCATCCACTGAAAAATTATCCAGGTAATAGAATAGATATAGACAACCAATTGCAAATACATGGTCGACTTAGATTCTGCAGCAAAAAGTGTGAAAATGTTGATAGTGCTCTTTTTGGACGATCTGTGTTGTTTGATTTTTCCATAACGTGGAATACACATAAAAAGTACAACTGCAAATTCTTCCATGGATTTTTCATGGGTTGGTCACAAAAATGACGCTGAAAGTTCAGTTTAACTATAAATGTCCTTTACAGAATTTTCTCAATAGAAGAAAAGGGCTAATGTTGAGTTACATCCAGTTCAATCCTTTATGAAAATATAATGGTTGTGGCGGAACGCGCCTCGCCACTGGAGATTGGAGAGGCCTGGCTGCCCGCCTCCTACCTGCTGACTATGGCCCCTGGTGAATTTGTACTTTTAATGCAATATTTGGGCATGTGATATTTTATATTGCTGCTACTGGCCCTTTAAGGGCCATCCGGGGACATATTCTGACTTTTGGGAACAATACCCCTTTAAGACTTGGTAGCAGATTACAGTAAGGATTTCTTTTATATTATGTATGTTTCTGTGTGTTCGGCTAGATTGTATATGTGTATGCAGCATTCCCCTGATTGTTCGGTAGAATCACTCCATTCATTATATTGAGTGAAACTACCGAACAACCAGACCACCCTGGAAGAAGTGTGCCTCCAATTGTTGCAAACGTTGCAAACGGGTAATTGGCAATCGATGTAATGTGTGGTTTTGTCCTCTGGGTGGCCGCCATTCGGGAAACGAACACGTTGCGGCAGCCATCTTAAACTCCCGAACAGCAGTGTGTCGCCGTCGAGTGTCTGGAACTAAAATCGGACACTCGACTAGGCAAACACCGCTCAGACCTCCAGACTTCCATTAATTCGTGTGGAAACTACCGAATGACCCGCCGTTCAGTAAACGGTTTGTAGGGAATTCGTTTAAACCCTCCCCAGGCTCTGTAATCCAAGCAATTCGTGTGTTTTCATTCCCTTTTCTGTGACCGACTGCAGGGCCAAAATACATGGAACTATTTTCGGATACTTTTGCCATGCAGTCGGTCAAAACTTTAACCCTCCATAATTCCCGAACCCCTGGTCCGATCTGGGTGATTTTTGGATATGTGTCTCACCCAGATCAGGGCTACCAGGGGATGTAACATTTAAAGGGGTAACCCTATATTATGGGGTACATCCAGTAACCCATGGAATTTGTGTCTGTACTAATGGGATTATGTGTCACACTAAGGGGAGGAGATGTATGGGAGGTAACTGGTACATTATTGGCTGGGGTACTAATTGTTGTGGATCCCTCCCTTGCATGGGAGAATGTCTTAAAGGGAGGTTGTGTGAATAAACCTAGAGTTCCTGCTTAACCCTCAAAGTGAAGTGTCGTCTCATTATTGGGGGAGGATTTATTGTATGCTGTTCCAGTTTGACTGCTAGGAGTGTAAACCTTTTCGCATGGTTTTTCCTATTCGACTGTATACAACATTCATATGCTTAGAAGTACTCATATGCTTCTCCGGTTCAGTGATTGTGGTGTCTGCCAGAGTGCTTGGAGTCCTCAGGAAACGCTAGGAGCATCCTTTAGCGGAGGTACCCAGTCGGGGTGCCATTTGCGGAATAGCTATTTCTTAACCCACTGTGCCCAACATGTGCCATAGCTTACAAATCATAGCACACTGGCCATTCTCACTGCCCTACACTATGCAGCCAAGCTCTGTACTTTGCTCATGCCAGGCAAGTGTAACATTAGCCTTGTGTGCCAGGAAACTATGGCATTATCCCAGTGTGCCACTATCTCATTGTGCCTAGCAAGTGTAGCATTAGCCCTGTGTGCCCAGGAAGTGTAGCATTATCCCAGTGTACCACTATCACATTGTGCCTAGTAAGTGTGCCACTATTCCAGTGTGCCCAACAAGTGTAGCATTATCCCTGTGTGCCAGAAAACTATGGCATTATCCCAGTGTACCCTGCAAGTATGGCATTAGCACTGTGTGCCAGGAACATATAGCATTATCCCAGTGCATAGTGTGCCTCTATGCCAGTGTCCCTAGCAAGTTCAGTGTGCCCAACAAGCATGGCATTAGCCCAGCAAGCACACCGTAGCAACCACATCTCGGAATGCAAAGAACCTAGTGCTGCAATTATCAAACTAATGCAAAATCGACGCAGAAGACATGGAACAGGAATTCGAAATCACAAGTAAAGTCCATGAGGAATTTGCTATCAACTGAATGTGACTTGCCAGGGTTCTTGCACATTCTGAAAAGAACCTAGTAGTGACATTCCCGTTTGGCTATACTTATCTATAGCTGTCCCCCACAAGTGCCAACACCATCTCTGTTCAGCTCCTGGTGCTTCACGTGCTAGAAACTGCGTCAGTGCTGTACTCTCATGCATGTGGCCTATGAAGGATCTTGTAAACCAAACGTGCCTCCATAGATTAAATCTGTCGATCTGAGAGAAGCACAAAGTAGTCCCAATTTATTTGATTGTATTGGAATTAATAAATGTGAGTATTTCATACATCAATATGAAATACTCAACATTTTTAGTGAGAGCCACTTTAAAAAAGCACAGAAGATGCGATTTCCATGCCTTTTACAACAAACGTTAAATAAACTTTGATAATGTTCTTACTGAGCTCATTGGTTTCTCTGGCAATTGCTTGACTTTGAGAACTTTACATTTTTTAGATGACAGGTTTTTTAAAAATCTCCCAAAATAGGTGGAAAGACTGTATCACTTGTTTAAAACATATAGTTTACAGTCAGGGCAAAACACAGCATAGCTCATACAATACAGATATAGAATATTACATTTAGTAACACAGCCTATAGTCTAATAGCCAACACATACCATGTCTGAAATAATGACCCACAATGCCAGTTGGACAGTTACCATACCCTGGGTTAACACTTAAACTGGTTCAGTTATTGGACTTTATGGAATACTGTCTGAACTACTTAACTAGTCTAGCTGGACCAGTCCTGGTATTAATGGACCATTTCCCTTGTGGGGCCCCTATTATGCCCTGGTGATCTAAATCCACAGTATTTTAAAAAGTCTTGGGGTATACAGGCATGTACCCCAATTGTAAAAAATATCTCAAGGAATGTAGACCATATTGTCTGAGGACTTATTTTAAGGACTGGAGAACAGAGTTCATTAGATGTATGTATTTTGTTATTAATGCTTTTCCTTTAATCTTTGCACACCAAAGTTATTTTGTGACATAATTGCCCAAGTTGGCCACAACTTTTTTGGGGAACATTACAAACAATCTGTCAAATAACCACTTTAAGAAATTGCCACTCTGGTGTTTTGTTTTGTGTTGTTTTTTTATATTGTAATTTTCCCAAGGGGGCACATTGTCATTCTTCATGCGGTCCTCCATCCTGCATTCACTTGTTAGATAGTGAATATCTTTGTGGGTTTGGAAGATAATGCTACTATGTCTGGATTTTTGCACACCAACAAGTATGTAGATTTGGCTCCTCGAACTAACTCTTCTCTGAACTTTGTAACAGTGAGTGAGTAAATGCACATGTTGCTGAATGAACTGAGGACAATCAGCATATTGCAGAGCATCCTCACCACGTTAATAGGGTGGTAGAAGTCATATCGGTTTACAGGTGGGTAAGTAAACCTCTCTAATACCTTAACAATCATTTTGGGCAACCAGTGCACCAGGAATGAGATTGATATTATAGCAAGAAGGTTTACAGACTTTTTCCTCCGAGCTATTTCAGGGTCAATTACATCCTTTCCTTCAGATCCCCCCTTCAAGCCTTGCCTCCGCTTTGTGGTTACTGTGATGTGCCAAACTGTCAACCCATTGGTTAGAACCAGTGACACCAGTGGGAACACAATCCATACAGTGGTCTGAATGTGGTCATATGTGGACAGGAAAGGAATCATGCTGAGATTACGATGGAGTGAACAGATGTGGAAGATCGTCCCATCAGGCTGGGTAG